CTTTATTGTTGAATCCCACTTGGAATACTTTCACACTGTGCAGTTTATTCAGTGCTGGGCAACAGTTAACTCCTCTGTATCATCTCACAACGACCATTTGTAGTTAACGATCCTTACCTGAAATCCTGAAAGTGGTTGTTTTGTTCAAACTCTCTTTACATGCTTGTTTTTAGGCAGGGATGCTCGCACCAGGAACAAGGAGAGACATTTATGACCAGAAGCTCACATTACAACCCATGGACAACACTACCATTTCACTACAAATGGGCACCAACAAAGTGGCTTCCCAGAAGGGCATGAGTGTGTATGGGCTTGGACGGCAAGTGTACGACCCCAAGTACTGTGCTGCACCAACAGAACCTGTCATTCATAATGGGAGCCAAGGAACAGGAACTAATGGGTCGGAAATCAGTGATAGCGATTATCAGGCAGAATATCCAGATGAATATCACTGCGAATACCAAGATGAATACCAGAGAGATTATCACGGTCAGTACAGTGACCAAGGCATTGATTATTAGAGTTGTCTCAGAAGCTCAGTATTAGTTTATTATTTTATTCAGTAAAAACGAAACTAGCCTTGTGGAATTGTTACCCGTCTTCTTTACACATTATGCTTCATGTACCTAAGGAAATATTGCCTTGCATAACATTCCTTTTTCCTTTCTCTGCTCTGTCCCTCTCTAGTTGCCTTTAGTGCTGTAACAGTTGCAGTCTACAGCATAACCAATAACTGCATATGAAGTAAAAAGGAATACTGTGAAAAGGGAGTTCTCTTATACAGCCAAGACTTTTAATAATAAAAACTATGCATTTTTACAATCTTGTTCTGAAATAAGCCTCTTATATACATACCATACCAAGTCTTCTCTTTTTTAAGAAAAAGTTTAAAATTTACAGCTCCATTCTGTGGAAGACTGTACACAATTTTTGTGGGTAATGTTAGTTGTGGACTATGCCACCAAAACCGGCATTGTGGCATATTACTTAAAGATTGTTTTGCTTGTTTCATAAGTGCTTGCTTGCTAACCTCTAAAGTCACAGTAGACATAATAAATGTGCATTTGTGATTGTGTATGTTCCATTCCAATATCTAAATTGACCAAACTTATAGAAAGAGCTGTCTTTTTTAAAAGGGAGCTTATAAAAAGTTCTGAGCCCACAGAAGTTTCCATGTTTTGACCGTGTGTTGACTTTTATTTTCCGTGCCACAATGTATCCATGTAGAATCGCCTCTTCTTTGAATTGTATTTATTGCCACATTTCTCATCATAAACTGATCTTGTTGTATTTTTTATAAATAAATGTTGTTTTCTTGAAGGCATGCAATAGCTTGTGTTACTAAATACTAGTGCCAGCTACAGAAAACAATTTCTCAGTGTTCTAGCAAACATGTCAAGGTACCACCTGTATGATAGTTAGAGGTGAAGACTGCCACTCTAGGACATTGCAACAAGGTCAAATCCTAGGAAAGTTAGCTGACATCCCAACACTATACATGTTAGCACATAAGTAACTACTGTAGTAAAAGTTATTTCCTAGCAAGTAATTTTGGGTTGCAACTAAAGTCTTGATGATGAATAATTAGGTAGTTTCACTGCTGGTCATCAGAAAATACTAGCTTCATTAACCTGCAAAGGTGAGGGCAGTGACCTTATCTTGGAATAGCTTAGTTCTTAGAAGAGCGCTTGTGCTGGAAAGAGAATGAGGGTGATCTTTGCAAACTTTCTTTCCCTCTGCACTTCTGTGCCTCCTGAAGAACTGCTCAAATTGGACAGGGTAGGATAAAGGGGGAATCCCTGCCCCATTCTTCTAATCTGAAGTAGTTTTCAGTATGAATAGGAATATACTTCACCAATTTTAGGGGACTGTCAAATCTTCTGTCCAGGGGTATGTGCAATGCTAGTGTATGTTTGGTTAGAATAAGTTAGCTAGCTAACAGCATTCAGCAGTGGCAAGAACATTACTTATTCCTGAAGAGGTACAGAGAAAATGCAGACCATCTACAGTCCATCTCAGAAGCTATATTCTCACAAGCTTAAATAGTGCTTACTCCCCAAGATTGTGTGAACTGGCACCATGTGATTTCTGAGATCCACCGGTCAGTCTTTTTATTCAAACACTACTTTAATGGTATACAATGTACTGGATTCTTATGATGTGTGCATGCATGCATTTCTTGTATTGATCAGATTTTAAATCTATCTTTCTGAAACTTGTATAGAAAATCCTTTCTTGCAGGGGGTAAATAAATCTTCTAGGGATGATTTAACACAAGACAGCCTACTTTAAAAATACATTTTGGTATTTATTGTGATTAGATCTTCCCCTTGCCAAAGCCCTTAAGAACTTTTATGGTGCCCTCTGTGGATAGACTGAACAGGATTTCATGTAGGCCTTACTTTTTTTCACGTTTCAGTACTTCATGGTGCCACTACCCTCTTATTTAGTTTGTTCAGAACGTGTTCCTTGCTTTTCAACATAACAACTGGTTAGAGATAGGAAATAGTAATGGCATTGTGTCTGCTTTGCTGCTTTCAGTTCAGCGAAACTGATTCACTAAGTCCAGTTCAGTTCAATGAAAACTTTTTAAAACTGAAATTTAGAATCTAAAGAAATTCAAGGAAAGATTTAGATGTAGGATTTGCGTTATTTCCCCTCTCTCTTTTGAATTATACCAAGAACTCAAAAGAAGATGTAAAGGGAAGGAAAAATAAGGGTGTGTTGTTCAGAAAAGCTGGGGGAAACTTCTGTTGAGCCCAGGATAGTTGTTTTCTTAATATATAAAAGTGTTCACTAGATTGTGACCGATACTATGCATGTCACACCGCTGCACTTTAGTATTTTAACTTAAGTAGTAGAGGATAGCTTTTGTACATACAGAGAGAAGGACTACTTCCTTTCTAGATTGCAGACTAGCAGCAAACTCAGGGGTATCCCACAGAATATGGTGCTTCTTATGGTATCTGTTCCAGCATACAACACATTCACCATTTTGACAATGCTTAGTGTTTGGGACTGGATACTAAATGTTTGCCATCCTAAGTGATCAATTATTCCCCTTCGCAGGATGCAATTGTCTGAATAAAAACATTCTCTACAGATTTGTTAGTTTAGGAAATACACTAATTTTTCCAAAAAGTGAAATGAAATGATACATCATTCCTGTGAACAATGATCATTCCAGAATCCTAGTTACTCAATTCCATAATGTAGTCCTTAACACATGGGTCCCTCTCTACCTCTGCTTTTTAGTCTAGCATTTGATTATTTACATTTTAAAAAAGCTATCTGGACACTGATATTTAATATGGTTCCACAACAGACACATTGGGTGCTAAACCATCACCACACTTTTTCTTACTAGGTCTTGCATTAAACAGGCAGCTTTTTAGCTTGTCAAAAGGCAACTACAAAACTGATAGCAGAGATCATTATTAATACAATTTTATTAAAGTACCTTAAATATCTTAATAAAAGAATTTGTGGCAAAGTTTTTTTTTCAGAGTGAAAGTAGGTTTAACAAGTTCTTCTAGTGCAAAAAATATAAACCAATTCAAGAGATAATTTCTTTTAAAGTAGCCATCGCTTAATTTTGTCTTTGTTGCTTTGCAGTGCATGCTTTTAAAGCCATCTCAAGTTCTGGCCTATAACAAGGAAAAAGTAATGCAAATAGTCATGATGTTAACTCAAGGCGTACAAGGTCATACAATGCATATGAACAGATTAGTAGGAAAAAGACCTTTGTGCATTTTTTTGTGTTAAAAATTACACAAAGAGATTCATGCTATGAATACAGCAAGCACAGCCATTTCATAAGCATACTAAACTTAAAACCACATGTTCCAGACTGTCAGACCAACTTACTACTTCTATATATCAGGAAATTCTGAAAAATGATGCAAAGCCTGCCAAAGTTTACAGCATGACCAAAAAATCCAGAAATATGATCAATATGTGCACATTTTTTCTGGCACAAACCATTGTCGATGGAAAATTATAGCTGCTACTGTAAAACTGATACTTTGGGAAGCACCCAGTGATTTTTTATTTAGTGTGAAATGCCAATTATACTATTGAAAAAAGGGTCCCGGTAGCATCTTGCCCATTCTTAAAGCTATGCTTTACCTTTATGACATTCATAAAAAAGTGAGGGCACAAGAAGAACAGTTGTCATTTGGCAACTCTTGTCAGGGCTGCTTTTGTTGCTCTGGTTGGTGGATGGAGAAGAGTGCTTCCCCCGTTTCCCCCTCCAAACAAAATATAGCTTAAAACAAATGTACTTTGGTGGGAAGAGTATGCAACAGGACATGGCATTCTCATATGCAACTGCTGGGACAGAATCCTGAAAAATGTTTTCTGCTTCATGTATGCACTATGCTTTTCAAATAGGAAAGCAAACCAGGGAATGGTACCAGATACCAAGGAAGGATGGGACTCCTTCCTTGTAACCTCTCTTCTATAATAGTTGCATAGAAGAGGGATTTTCGGCAGCTGCAGCTTTTCCTCATGTATGACAAGCTGAATTCTGTCTGCACAGCTATGAATGTTTTTACTACCCTTCCTCTATGTCTAGTCACCTGCTCAGACTGTAACACTTTAAGGAACCACCTTGAGCTTAATTTGCTCCACCCTTAGTTTAGAAGCCTGCTTCCAACAGCAGGTGCCTCAGATATCACACCTGCAGTAGTAGTAGTAAAGTAGAGCTTTTCCAATGATATAGTCTCACCGCTGATTAACAAACAAGCACCCACTGATATAGACCTGGCTGTAATGGGAAGACCTTCCAGAGGTCAAGTTTGAGACATGTGATGTATAAAAATGCACATTGAATTACAAAAGGCAAGATGATCTGTTATTGGCTGTTTATACAGTGTGACTTTTGTTTCTTACCACAGGCTGAAGTTCTGTGTCATACTCATTCTTACGAAGGGCTTTTTTATTTCTGTGTTTGATCTCCTTTGTGAACTTGCTGCTCTCATATACAGTGTCCTATAATGAATGACAAAAATGATTATGCTGTAGAGTAGGACTGATAATCCACCTAGGGACAGGTTTGGACAGAAGGGATCTGTTTTCTAAGATGATGCTGGAAAGGGGGAACAAGAAGAACAGTAATGCTGCTATACTGGACTTGTAAAACAATGATGTGTGATACATTATTTGCAGCCAGCTTCAAGTTAACATACATTATATTTGAAAGTTTACAGGTTCTCACACATAGACACTGGCTATATTTAAGCATATAATAAAAACTTCAATTGTAAGCAAAATTCTTGGACCTATTAAACTTCATGGGATATAATCTATTTAATCACAGAGACTGGAATGAAGGCCGCAGTCCCAAGCATACTTAGCAATAGTTCTCTATAAACAACTTACTTTCAATTACATTTAGGATCTAGTTTCTATACCTTAAGATAGAAATAATTGCTCAGAAAATTACATTTTTCAAATGGTGCTGGACGATCATTACACTTTCATGAGAAAGGTATTTTAAAACTGGTTAAAACTATGTTTAGCCTACAAGCAATATATTAAGTGTGCAATCCTATGGCACCCCAACATTGCTGGACAGTGCAGGGGCAGAGGATTATTCAAATACTGCAAATACTAAGCCTTTGTCCCCCACCTTTTGCATTTGGTATAGAAAGAACAATGCTGGTTGTTCCCCAGTGTGAGAAACTGGCCTCACAGGGGAGGAAATGGGACATGTCAGGCAGGGAATAGGTTGTGACTGACAGCTTATGCTGTAACCAAACAGAGGCACAACTTCATTTCCCTTCCCTCTATGGGATTTCATGTAAATGGCCAAAAATGAAGGGATAAAGTACACTGCACAAGGTGCAGAACAAAGAAAATGATCACCACCCACCACCGTTCTTTGCACCATACATTGGATGCGCGTGAACCTCCAGGTTCATAGGCTTATGTATTTTAGACTATGCCCTTAGTGTTTACATGAAAGATGATCTAGTTAATAGGAAAAAATGACTAAATATTAATTCAATTCTTTGCTGAATGAAACTCACAGGGAACTGTGCAAATGATTAAGAAGAACTATTTTTTGTACAATTGTACATATGTCTACTCAGATATAACTTGCATAGAGTTGAATATGCCTTACTTCCAGATAAGTGGATATAGGGTTACAGGCTGAAAGGATTCTGGGATTGGGTGCCATTGATTTTTGGAGCCAAGTAAGCTAGGCATCCAAACTCCCTACCTTCTCTTAGGGTTAGCATTTCCTCATATATAAGCATTTCCTTAAGAACTTGCAAGACTCTAGAAACCAGGGCACTGAAACTCATACACTAATTTTTTAGGCATTTCACACCATTCTATATATAAGGACCAAAGGAGAAGTGAAAAATATCTGTAGTATACGCACAGTATGAAATACATTGGGTGCTTAATTCCTGTCTTGAATGATTTCTATTCCATCATATCATGAATAAAATAAGAGACGAAAATGTCATTTAAAGAATTATAGTTTGGCATCTGATTAGCTACCGCATGATGTGAGTTTACAAATCTTTGGCCTAATCCAAAGATTAATCTAAATTCCTTCACGTTTCCACCTTGCATTTCACATTTGTGGCTGCTCACCATTAATTCTTGGTCCATGAAGTATGGCTTCTCTGAAGATCCATCATTTGTTTCTATGTCAATAGCAAAGCAAAGGAATAGGACATCCAGTATTGTTTGATATACTGAGAGAAAGCAGTGGGCTACAAGATAGGCCCAAAAAGTAACCAACAGCAGTGGAACTACCCAAACATGTAGTTCACGGTGATAGTTAAATGCCATCAAACCTCCAAAAACTGTGAAACATACCACAAACACCTGTATGAAAATAAAAGCAGATGCTATATTTTAGAAGAAGCTAGTGTTGCAAAACCCAGGGTCACCAAAATATATAAGTGCTTTGTATTCCAAGGGTAGTACTTTCAAAGGGCTGCTTGAAAACTTTTCTTCTGTCATAACTGGGCAACCCAAGCTGAAGATTTGCTTCTCTTTGCTATTTCCACCTGTATTTTGTCTTAAATTAGACTTGCTCATTTTAAGAAAAATGCCATGATTGTTATTACACTTGGGTTGAGAGAGAGTGACTGGCCCAAAGTCATCCAGTGAGCTTCATGGCCAAGAACCCAGATCTCCCAGTTTCCCTCTAACCACCATACCACACTGGCTCTCCCCCACTTTCTCATCACTTTCTAATGCTTGCTAATGTTACTGTTTCACATTACATGAAGAAACCTCAGGTTTCCATGCATTCTCTTCCCTTTCTCCTTTCCTTTGTATGGTCTGATTCCTTCCGCGATTTCTGATTTTGTGGAAAGCCATAGCTTGAACACTAGAACCAGACTTCAGGGTGCATAAACTATGGTTTTCCTATAAACCAGAATTGGAAGCCAGAATCAAACCATGGCTAATACAAACCATAATGTCCAGCTCCGTGGCTAAGTAATCTACAGTATGATGTAAAAGGGAAAACCAAAGTCAGAGGAGGGAGGAAATCATGATCTGACATTATGACCAAACCATCCCAAATTGTATTTACCTAATTTCTTAAAAGCAAGTCTCAATCTTATAAATTTTTGTAAATGTCAGTCATGAATATTGCAGTTTACTTATATGTATTTATTACTTGGTACTAAGAAAAATATTAATAAGAGAAAACTTAGCTTTGACTCTTCTGAATCCATTGTCACTGACAAAATGGGATTTTCGGTTCATAATCAAAGACATGTTAAATGTTTTAAAAGTTAAGTAAAAATATTGACAGGATTTTACCTTTCCTAGAAAGATGATAAAGTCACCAAAGCAGTTGACTACCATTGTATTCATGGAATTCTTTGATAAAATAAGGGCAGCATCTTCTGCTGAGGTACAAAAATTTGTCCCATTTATGACTGTGGCTGTATATGCATTCTGTAATGAGAATGTAAATTAATTTTGTTTTTGTTTTAGAAAAGATGTCAGGGTGAAAGGTAGGAGACAGAAATCCTCATCGAAACATTAATGTGTCGCAATATACTGTTAACATCTATTCTGACAATAACTGTTCTACTATTCTATGAAAAATAAAAATGCCTTTCAAAGCCTATAGAACTATCTTCTTAGCTGGAATAATATCTTTCAGTTAAGCATACTATGAGGAAAAATATAAATCTAAAACAGGTCTTGTCCACTTTTATTTAAAGTTCAGAATCCATCCAATGCTTTTCTCAGGGACTGAGTTACTACTCGTAAGTTAGAAACTGAACATGTAAATGAAAGAATGTGTTAAACTCCACTGTTAAATATATATATTAACTCTGTTTTCCTGTCACAAGTATTCTGTTTATCCCTGTATTCATCCATGTTTTAAAAGGAAACCTTTTTGATAGCTGTCAAAAATAGAAATCCCATAAATAGGGTGGGTTGAAAAAGTACTGCAAGTACTTCAAGTACTGAAAAAGTACTCTCGCGCGCGCACGCTCTCTCTCTCTCTCTCTCTCTCTCTCTCTCTCTCTCTCTCTCTCTCTGTGTGTGTGTGTGTGTGTGTGTGTGTGTGTGTGTGTGTGTGTGTAAGTAAAAGACACTAAAGCCCTGAGGATCTTACTGTGCAATAGGGAAAAAGCCCCTTCTGTGAGCAAAGATCATCATGGCTTTGTGTTCCTTTCACAGCTCAGCTTCTGACACCTGTCAAGAGTAAAAAAATTACCCATTCACCACCTCTCGGGCTCAGTGTCTCTGGTTGCTACCTGCTGAATTTTGACAGCAGATACCTCACAGCGTGCTGCCCTGATGAGACTTGCCATTTCAGACTGTCCCAAGTGCTTTTGTCCACACTTACACAAGACTAACTACATCTTTAAAAAATTAGCGAAAGCACTGGCAAACGTTTCTTGTGCTTAAAAAAGAAAAGGATGGCAAACCAGTGACAAGCAGCCAATCGACTGCTTGAACACTTTCAAGGGGTCATGGTGGGCTGTCATTTCAGGTAAGCCAAAAATCAATCTTTGAAAAATTAAGGAGAAGGAAAGTTCAAAAGGATTTGAGATCAACATGATCGTCACTCCACCGGGGCAGCTGGCAAGTTTAGCAAGAGGGGCAAGGGCTCACCACTTGCCTGTATTAATTATGGAGCTGTGCAGAGGGCGTTACAACCCCCTGTGGGTACAAAGCAGCCAGGATTATGAGGTGGTCAGGGTTCTCATGGCTTACCAAAAACCACCCTACTGGAACTGGTCTCGATTCACATGACACAACAACCTGCCCTTTTCAGGCCTTTGTATGTCCCTGTGAAAATACTATGGGAAGCCCTGCCAAAAAGAGCCCTTTTAAAAGGAACCGGAATTCTGACAGCTAGCTGTTAAATCGCTGTGCTCCAGTAAAAGAGGGCAGGCTTCACTTTTTCACCTTCAAAGAGCCTCAAGAATGGGTGGAAAACCTGGTAAAATGCCAAATCCAAAAAGCCCTGAGGACCTCAAGTGATACTCTGTGAAACCTTATTCCAGAATAAATTTGTTAATCCTTAAGATGCTAGAGGACTATGGTATTTTTATTATGGCACAGTGTATTTTACTGTGTAATAAGTAACCTGGCAGCACCAAAGCTGTGATTTCACAGGCCCTATAAAGATGCACTTTTTTCATTGACCTTACTACTGAAATTGTTTTCCCTGAGCTGACTCTAAAAATATTTTTATCCATGAATAGTGTATGTCAGCAATACAAATACATTTTCTGGGTTGTTACCATTTTCCATTGAGAGAACCAGCAAAGCATTCAGAACTAGGTGAATTTTCACATTCCATGTAGTACATACCTAAGTTCACTTTTATTTTCTCTCTAAAAAGAAAGCCAATCCATGGTGCTAAAGACCACTAGACTCCATCATACTTTTGCAAGTACTGTGTGCTCTAAGAACCAGAGACAGGGAAAAACAGAAGAGGTTCTAACATGCTAGCGTCACTGCCTCTAGCACTGGTTGTGCAGCTGCTAGCCAAGCAACCAATAGTTCAACCAGCTGCTACTAGGAAATGCAGAGCCCCAGTTCTGACCTTGGAAACACATTCAAGATGGAGGCTACAGTCCCAAATCTGGAGCACCCCCTCCTGTCCTTGCAGCCTCTGCAGTGCTTTCCATAGCAGCACATTGCAAGCATGACTTTGGAGCCAGTGCTGGATGTAGACAGAGGATGAGGAGGGGACGGCGGGGGGGGGGGGGGGGCAAGACTCCACCAAGCTATGAAGAAACCCAGCAATGCTTCAGCCCTCCCTTCTTGTAGGCAAAAGACACAGATGGTTAAGGTCAGCCATCTAAGTGTTTCCTTCCACTTCCTGCCTTCCATTAAAAGCCTGTAATTGTCCAAGTTTGGAGAACTATGAGCAGTCACACTGGATGGGGCTTTAACACAACTAGTACAAGGACAAGGTTGTACAACCATCTTATGGGAATGCACACAGATCAATGTAGAAATTAGCTAAGGCAGTGGGGCTTACTCCTGAGTAAGTAATAATTGCAGTCTACCTCAGTTTCTAAACAAATTCTATGGGGTTACAAAGTTACACTGACATAGAGAAATGTCTTCTCTCCTAAGCTTCAAGGAATGCTACTATCCAACTAAGCAATAATATTCCAGATAAAGTTAAACACTTCTGTTACTACTGAAATCTGTGAGTATCCAGCATGAAACTGCACTTAAATCCCTTTGATTTATTATCTGTTATCAGGAAAAATTAAATTATCTGTTTAATTTTCCCTGGATTGAGTTTAAGTGTTCTTTTCCAAAGCACAGTTAATAATTTAAAGGCAAGGGCTTTTTATTTGTTTGTTTATTTATTTGGAGTTTTTGTATGCCGTCCCATTCGCATGAGCCTCAGGACAGCTTCCAACACAATAAAAAAACAAGCTTTTAAGAAGTGGGGCATTTTTAAAAGTAGTTAAACTGAATTGTATCAGTACCAAACTGTTAAATTCAGCACAATTTGCTGCAGATTTAAATCCTTCCATTAGGAAACCAAAATCACAACTGCAGCACAAATTAACAAGTCTTGGACAGCAACAATCATTTATATTTAGAACATGATCTGCTGTTTGTATTACTATGCTATCTCCCCCTTCCTTATAAGAAATCCAGAGTCTTAGGCTTTGATGCCTGGGAATTGAAGACATCTTTCTCACAGATAAATGAGTAATGGGATTGTTTACATATTTTGAAATAGAGTTGGCAAAGAAACTATTTAGAAAAAAAAACCCTTCGTCTATCTGTACTTCACAACACAGAACAAATGTCAAGGGGTCCTGGAAAAGCTGACCTGTTCATTTCGTGAGAAAAGCCCTGTGGCGCAGATCCAGGCCTAAAGTTCCCTGCCTGTGAAGAATAATTGCTACTTTGTGCAACAGCTTAATTCACTCTTCCACTCTAGAACTCTCTATTAAAAATGAGCTCAGCGAAAAGGGGAGTGCCATAGCAACAGAATCATCTTTTAAAAGAGGCCAAAAGCAAGTTGGTCAGACATTGTATCTCACTGCTTTGGCCTGCTCATACTTTCAGACTGGCGGGTGTCAGTCCTTGCTGCATACAGAGCTGTCCCTATTTGAGATGCCTAATGGTGGGATAAGATGAAAGAGCAATGATGCAGACATCATCAAAGATGACGCATATGGAAACCCTGGTATACTCTCTTTGCAGGTAAGCCCCTGCTAGCAGTAAAAAACATTTGCCTAGTCCTGACAGCCATGCATTCAATCTGCACCAGCAAGGAGCAAGACCACCGCACCTCTGAATTGTCCTTTGTGCATTCAGCTGTAACAAGCAGGGCTCTGTGACGCTGGGATTCCTCATTCCTGGAAGCCTTTGCAAGTACAGCTGTTTGCACAAAGGATCTGTCCTGCATCTGTTTTCACGGTATGCGTCTGGCTAGCTGATGTATGTGACTACTAGTTTGCATGGCAGAATGCACCAGACATGGACAGGGCTAACAACACCCCTTGAAGTGAGAGCCACTGTTAATGGGCCTACAGGTTAGCAGCACGAGAAAAACTAGTTTATGTGCTTGCAGCAAATTTATCCAGACTGCAGGCGACTGCATTGGAGGTCAGTATGACTGGTCTCGCTTCTAATCTCAAATCAGTCATAAAATATGGGATGACCTTGGGCAAGTCTCCCCCCCCCCCCCAACACACACACACTTTGGTGTGAAGATTCAGGGGTTGGACAGAACTACTGGAACTGTTAATACCCTGAGCTCACTTTGTTGAAGGGACGGGGAGAGAAAAAAAGTTGTTTAAATTAATAAATAGTATAGAAACCAGACATTTCCTAGTTATTTCCTCAGAAATCCATGTGCTGTGCTGTGGAATGGATGGTTGCCAATTGGTTGCAGCTGAACTGAAACCTGACATACAAAAGTAAAATTTTACCACTACCATAAAATAAAATCATGGAACACAAGTTACAGGAATGTCTTTCGAGTGACCTTTTAAAGTTCTCCCATGATGATCAGGGGGAAACAAGGATAGTGATTACAGTACAGAGAAAGACCATTCTCTTAAAAGGAGTTTTTACTTACTAGATTTTAATTACACCTGAAAGATTTAATTGGGTTTTCCTAGAACCATCCAAAGTAGGGTGTACAAAATCTTTAGCACTGACACATTAAACTCAGAAAATTACAGTAATTCTCTATGTACACAGATCAATATTTCTGTACTGTATTCCACCTTTCCTTCTTTTTTAATAAAACCCAAATTGAAGAACTCTGTAAAGCAAGAATATCTAAGAAACATTAAATTACATTTCTTAAAGTAATTTCAAACAGCGGTTAGTAAAACAATCTGCAGTTATCCTATAAAAAATGTGTGTTTGAAAAAGGAACAGGGACCAAAGAAAGAAACAAACTCTCTACTAGTGCCAATCGTACATCAAGAGGAAAGGGAGCTGGATGGGAAAATTTAATGCATGGTGGTCCCAATCCAGCCCAAGGGGCATGCACTTGCACTTAAATAAAACCAAAAGATACATTATGCATTTAAGGTAGCGTGCAGTTTAGCAGTACATTTTTTACTTCAAATGTGGATTCTTCTATGTATTGGAAGCCACAGAATATTCACTTAGATCATGTATGTTTCTTCTCAAAATCCTATCCTTCCCTTTCCCTTTCCCTTTCCCTTTCCCTTTCCTCTCCTCTCCTCTCCTCTCAGTATGCAGTGTTGACATTTGCCATTATAAACACAATACTTTTAGTCAAACTGTGGCTACTTAAAACAGGAGTGGAACATTTCTGAACCAGTTGATTAAAGATAATGTTCCAGAATCTCTAGTAGCAGAACCTACTTTTCCTCTTCTGCTGTTCCTTTCTCATCAGACTTTGAGATATTTTTGAGCTGCTGCGCAGTGCAATGCATGATGTCAGACATGATCCTGCTATTACAGTGGTAAGAACTGTTTTTCTTTGTTTCCCATGTGGAAGTACATTCATGCTCATTTTTCCAGAATCAGACAATACGTAATCTTCATCCCAAATAAGGCCTGAGGAAGGCTTCAAGCTGTTGTCTCCAACTATTTTTAGCTTTTGCCCACCCACCATGATTGCAACTTTGAAGAAAAAGTTTCCATTTGGATTCTTAAAGATGCATTTCTTATTCTGGAAAAACAGGTGGGATAAGCCAGCCCTTGATTTAGTCTCCTCCACTGAATCAATTATACAATCATCAGATTTTGTTATAGAAAATGTTTTTACTACAAAGTTTTTGAAATGAAAACAAGATATCTGGCTTTTGAGTAAGAATAACTTTTCCTCCTTTTGACTGTCACACCTCATACCCTTGAAATCATTGTCCAAAAGCCATTGCATGCTAATATTTTATTGATGGGAACCTCTATTTTCATTTTGAGATTTTCTATGCAAAATATTAAGCCTCTGCAAAGGACAATAGCTGATAATAACACCTGGTTTAAATGGCTTAGGCCTCTTTCTAGGCACCAGAAACAGCTACAGCAGCATTTCAACATGCACCGGGCACAGGCGTTCTCCTGAAACAAAAAAGCGGACATTAGGTATAAAAACCAGAAAACTATTTACAGTGCTATTGTTTAATCAGCATGTGTTGCCCCGTTGTGTGGCACCCCACACTTCCCAGTTATGCAGAAGGTATGCACATGGCGCAGCACATCCCTAGCTGGGAAACCCTTGTGCTTGGCAACTCCCTTTGGACATGGGAGCTCCTGTTTGTGCAAGTTAATAGTATTTTAAGAACAGGATGCATGTGGTAACTCAGCCTCTACACCAGTAAATCTACTGGTCCAAAGCAATTTTCCCTTATTGTGGGAATCAATTTCTAAGAATAGTGTGAACTTCTTCCAACACAGATTATGTTGGCATTAGCTCTACTTGTTCTTCGCTTCTAAGTTTCTCCAAAGTAGACAGAGATTTAAACTAGAGCTACACCAAATATTCTTTTGTTTTCATTTTGGGCTGAAAATATAGTTTACCACATTATGTAGGAACAAGCCACAGCAAGACTTGTGCTCCCCTTCCCATCTTCCCCAAAGGGGCTGGCAGGAGGAGTTCGAGAGCCTCGACTTCTGTTTATGATTAAGCATAGCTTACCATGTTATTTGAACCCAGATCTCTGGTTAATCTTAATCTATAGTTAGGTTAAACAAGGCAACTTCAATAACTATGGTTTGAACAATTAATTAGCATTAATTCCAGTTTATTAGTGATGATACAATAGATTGCTGTGAAGAAAAATCTATGTGGGGGAAGGGAAGGTGCAGGAGAATCCAAGACTGAACACGCCTTGTTCCTTTTGCTTACTTCATGCTAAATCAAGGGTTGCTGCAATGTGTGAACACAACCAATGAATGCAGTGAACAATAAGATTTCCTGTTATAATTTAAAATAGTGGCTTGGATTAAAAAAGAACAAAGGCGACTTTTGACATCCTATCTTTATAAGATCCCAGAACTTTAGCAGAACGACACTAGTATGATCCAGATATATCTTGACATCTCATAGGTAAATCAAATTATTTATACCACAGACTTCCTTGGAAGTTTCAACTTTTGATTAACCAGTGATCTCCAATGTATTGCTATACATTATTATAACATTTTGCAGAGACCACAAATGCCACAGTAATTCAGGACCATTTATTTTCCTTTGGAAGTGGAAAATAAAAGCTGCCTTTTATACAGTAAGGAAAACTCTAATATCTACAATATGTGACAGAGATGAGCAAAACAGAGCAAAAATTAAAATATTTATTTATATTTTCACCTAAAGCAAACCCTTGAAAGCTTAAGGATAGCATTTTAAAAATGCTTGAAGTGAGAAATCGAGAACTAAAACAAATCTATGATCTTTTTCAAAGGTTTTTCCCTGTTCAAGATCCTAACCACATATTCATTCAAAGGGCTTCTTTATATAAGGCATATAATCTGGCACTTCACCAAGACATCTTCTTCCATTTTCTTTGTGGGAGGATTAAACCTTCACATGAGGTTTTTCCCCACCCAAGGGCTTTTCCTTTCTGCCTTTCTATAGGTTTTCTATATGTCCCTATATGTTCCATTGAAAAACCAAAGGTGGTACTGTGGTATAGAAAGGAAAAGCAAAATTACACAAATATTCTGTAGCAAATAATAGCCATATCCAGAGAAATAGCTGATTTTCTTCATTTTAACAAATCCACAAAAACGAATAAAAAACTTGAGATGATGACATCGTGAGAAGGTTCCATGAACTTCCATGAATGAAAAAATATAAGTGTACAATAAAAGCCATAAACAGAGAAGCTTTAAATGTTCTGATCAGCGTAAACAATGCAGGCACTTCACCATCTACCGAATTTGGCAACCCACAGCTGAAAGAGGGTGAGTGGCCACCAAACGCATTCCAGTATTTGCACGTGCTCCTTATTTGCAGTCACAATTCAAGGTTTTGGTTTCAATCTAAACTGTCTTTCACATGAGTCACACTGCAGTGTGAGGAAATCCAGGAAAGACCACCTGACAGCCAGTTGCAAAATGCAACAGGACTTCCGCCATGTGATTCCTGACTCATACCGATTGTCTCCCAACTCTTCGCCTAAGCAGCTTTGGAAGCTTTTGTGAGAAACAAAACAAAAACTTCTAAGAACTTCAATTGACTTTTGCTCTGACCCCTTTAGAATGGGAGCAGCCTATAAAACTCAATCAATCCATCAATCAATCCATCAAAACAGAAATAATCTTACCTATTTCTCAGATATTATTATTAAGTCCAAGCCTACCTTTGTTTTCAGGATGTTATAAATAGACAACAGAATAATCCTTGGGACTCTAACTATTGTGATTAAAAGGGACCCTTTCACAACTGTTCCCAGATGATAACAAAAAAGAATTGATATGGAAGACAGGACTGGATGACTTGGCAGTTCGCTCTTATTTCTAGAATGAAAAACAAACAAGCATGTTGAAAATAAAACATAAGCACAGTGTAGGGATTAGGTCCATTCCCAGAGTCCTCCCTGCATGCTGTTGCCTTGCTAGGCATGGGAAACTCTCTAGTCCACCAGGCCTTCTGTACACATTCAAGAGGTTCCCCTCATGAAAAACTTGTGGGGTATAGCTTCAGATATGCAGAGTTGTAGAGAAATCTGGCCAGTGGCCACTCACCCTAATCCAGGTATTTCATTGTCTAGTCATTGCATGACTCTTTGAGTACCCAGATCTGTGTTTCAGCGGAGAGAATGGAGTGGTCCTTAGGCACCATTGTATAGGTAAGGGTACAGGATTATAAAATACTTCCTACAGGAAGCTGCTCTGAAATCTGAAAGACATACTGTAGTATCTAAATTAGTTAGGGTGTACTCTCATTGTTCAGAAACCTCTGAAACGCAGAGACTTACAATATCCCTACGCCATGCTGGGCTGAAGACAGCAAGAGCAACATCCTTCATGTGGATGATTTTTCTTAGTCAGGCTTTTCAGCCTCTCCAGCAAGGACATTTTGAAAGGGGAAAGGAGGAGGCAGGAGTAATTCTTACCCTTTTGGCTCCCTGGTCTCTGGCCCTTTCACCCACTGGATCACATCCCTTCCTACTCCTCAAGGTTCCCTTTCGTACTCTGGCTTTCCAACTGGCTTGGAAGGCAAGCTGCACAGTTCTTTCCACATCAGTTTCATGGGGGGAGGATGAATCTGTGTTTCTCCCTTCCAGGGTCAGACTTATATCTCTGACTTTGAAAAGGTTTTTATGAGTCATACTCTGGTTCTTGGGATGTTCTTCCAGGGCCCAGAGAATGGTGCTTTTAACCACTTTTTCCCACACTAATTCAATCCATTCATCTTTGGCATTTACCTATTAATTCTAATTCTCTTCAATAGGGGATTAAAGGGCAAAATTGGACATCCTTCTCCCAAAATGTGTAACATTGTTCTGAAGCATTCCTAGGTATCAAAAATATTGACTTTATTGCCAAGAACTGGTTGTAAGATTCTAGTTGGGTGGTGGGAGAAAGAGAATTCTGTGAGCTAGCATTTAAATGCAAATAAACTACAAAATCCACTTATGACCCAGCTTCTTAAGTCTTATTTGAATTCAAGTTCCCATTAATTTAAATACAGAACTTGCCACAGGAATGAATAAAATGAGAATCACATATGAAAATGTTCTCTGTAAGCACTCAAGTGTTCTCTGTTGTGACCTTTTAAGAATGGGAGTTGCATGCAGGAAAACAAGAGCAGCTGGATGAAGTATGAACTGAGGTTTCGCAAATATTTTTCTATTAAATCTTCACCTAAGTGGGAATTTAAATACACAAAGCCACATCAGCCTATGTAGCATACTAATACAATTTCTACAGCCTTGCCATAGAAATAGCTACAGTGTAGCTATAAGGCTATCGTTATATCTGCAAACACCAGATTATTTTCAATAGGAAATACCAGAAAAATGGTATGCATACATTTCAGTACTTTGGGCAGAAGGAACAATTTAGGGGTAAGTGCTAAATTTCTATGTAAAACAAGTAAGTTGATATACTTTCCAACAGACAAATGGATTTTCACCTTAGTTTGAATTTAGCTTAATTAAAATGTCTGTTGATAAATGCTTACATGTGAAACCTTTTGCCAGACCTGGGGGAAATATGACTTCAGAATGTCAACACAAGCAGGATTAGGACGTAAAGAAATGACAAGGATTATGCCTTCATTTATCTGCAATTTCCTTCTGAAAGTAAGAGGAAAGGTTTTACTGTCTGATTGCACTTTATTTATAACATTAGCTAAAGTCTGTTCATTAATGGAGGCAAACTGAAGATTCTGAAGTGAGTTTCCACAGGTCCATAACAGACCTGTTCTAACCAATTGTTTCCTTGCTTGGATCTAGCCAAGGAAAATATAAATAGAACAGGGTCTCAGAAATATGTCAAGTCATTCTAGCCTCTAAGCAGGTAACAAACAGTACAAAGTGATTTCAATTCATCTAATTCTAAGATCAAACCAAGTATGTAAAATGTGGAAGAATAGGAGTAGCAACTAGACTTAATATGGCATGATAAATGTTACCAACAGGTCCATCAACCTAAGTAGCATTATAGAATTGCAGAATCAAAATCAGGATAATATGATAAAAATGCAGAATTCAGACTGCAGACTTCTGAAGAACTTCCTAGCATCGTCATGTGGTTATAGTATGAAGTCAAGTTTAGCTGGCTGCTACAGAACTGCTAGAAGCTGAATGACTGGAGCAGATTGTCAAGTGAAGAAGATATTCCTGTTCTCTTACAAGAATCTCTACAACTTAAACGTTTTAGTTATAGTCTGTCTTGCTGAGTCACTACCCTCACTCTGGCCTAGGGCTGGTTGCTGTTGCTGGACAAAATTTTAAAATAATCTGTATTCACAACATTTAACGAGAACATGCTTACAAAATGAAAACTCTCTTTCTGAATCTCTGAAATACATACAGCATCTTATTCCATAGCATCAGAGAACTTTAAATCTTAGCACGTGGTCCCACGAACTTGGGTCCTGCTAATTATAGTGAGAGAAAATTATGCAGAGCTTATTGTTTTCAGTGTTATTCTCCCAACACTTTGGGGAAATTTCTGCCACTGTGGCAGCAGATTAAAGACTTGTCCAATGCAACGCACTGATTTTTTATGGCTGAGCTGATATTTCAATTGATATCCCAAGTTTTATTCATTGCAGTTAAAACTCTCAAATGTTTGGTACATTAAATTATATCTAAAGATAAGTTTCTTTTTTTCAAGCAGTTGGGTAAGAGCGAAGAATAGCAGTTAAATGCAGCTCTGATTCTTTTAGTACATTATTAAGACCTCTAAGGAATGCATCTTTCTTCTAAAAGAAAAGAAAGCAAAGTACAGTTTCAGTATTGTTGTTTCAGGTCAAAGCAATGTCTCCTGTAAAGCCGATCCAGCTGAAACAACTCTCCACCCTTCTCCGTTTTAATTCTGCTTATGGGGAGACTGCAGAGTGCCTAATGGATTGCTTTGTGTAGCAAGGAAGTGGGTTTGCTGAGGCAAAGACTGTTCTATTTCCTGTAACTGCTTATTAGCTAAAAGGAAAGGCTCTGCATGAAACATGATAAACAAAGCTCTTGTGACAGGCTACTGCCTCAAAGCATGTGAATAACATCATTACTTTCCTTTTCTACACTCATTACATTATTCTATTGCAACCATTTTACTTCTTCTATGTGTTGGCAAAGCACACAATACTTAGAGGGAAATAAGTTTGCAGGTTTCCCTTTGCAAGTTCAGTGTTTTTAAATGCAAAGATATATTACCCAGTGGTGGCATAAGGAGATTATGATGTAGAGCATACACAAGAATATAGTCCACTAGCTCTGAAATGATGAAGCCAATATCTAAGAGTCGTACAAAAGAATGCCAAAGACAGAAAGTGGGATCATGAAAACCACAGTGGGGTAATTCTTCCATGCAAGAAGAACAGGAGTAGGATCAACCCCTCTGGTTGGCATGAAATACAGCAGCCCAGAATTATTCCATAAACTAGATGGATGAATAGAACACAGTTGCAGCATTAGAAATAACTCTGTTAAGAGGATTTGGGCTTACTCCAGCGTGATCCAGATAAATCTTGTCCAACATTTGTGCGAGAGCCTTCCCATTAAAGAACATTCCATTTCTACCATATATACTTACTAAGAGGACACATTGCATGAAAAGCATTTTTCACAGAGAGACATAGATAGTCATAGAGAACGCTCATGCCACTTGACAAGGTGATATTGTGGCAAATTACATGAACTCTAATGTAGTAAAAGCAGAACGCTGAAGCAGAAGCAGAACATATAGAACAGCACTGCATTCTTCCTCTCCTCGAGCTACTAAAGCGAAATGATTCCACAGTGTTGTCTATGGAATTTGTGGAAGTTATTAACTAGTAATATAGTTAGGCAAACTCCCTCCAGCCCAAGAGGGAAGTGAGTCAAGGCACTTTTGTGATTGCCAGAAACAAGGACAAAACCTTTGAAAATATTCCTATCGAGGTAAGTGCATTGTGAATTTCCTAGAAAGAAAGTAGGTTGAAGGAGCTACTGGGTGAGCTCCAGGCTCTGCCTTTTGCAGGCACAAGGGGTGCCTCCACCCAAACCAAATTCATTCATTCAGCAGAATCCCCTAATGGCCCTGTAGTATTTTGAGGGGGGTGGAGGGGGCAGGGAATCAATTTCTTCTATCCAAGTTGCACGAAACTAAATCCGGAATCAACATGTTATGAACACAAACGCCTCCACAAATTTTCTAAAGGCATCTGACATTTTCTCTAGAATTTCATAGCATCAGCCTTTCCCCACAACCAAGAACACCAGTAATATCCAACCCATGAGTTGCATTCCTCATATGATCAGATTGCAAATTGCACCATTATACCATTTATGAACACTCCCAATTTAAAGAAAAAACAGTCTACCAAGCGAAACTGACAATCATCCTGCTGCGGTGTATCAGCACTACACACAGGAACAGGCATGTGTGGGCCCAAGAAGTATGCGAAATTGCTTGCAGAAGCAGGAGCATGGGAATATATATGGGAAAATCTAAATCAGCCAGACAACTGAAAACATATCACATTGCAAGAAAAGTAGTATTATGTATGACATGAAGAAAATGGAAACTTATATTTCTAATTGATGATGATTTCCTAATTTCATGGACATTTCTAAGAAAAGCTTAAATAAATTTTTTTCTTAAAAGGTAACAGTGAGAGCCCTTGTACAGAAGCTTTTGTATAATGTTTGCACAGCATGACATGTTAAATTTATAATTCTGGAATGAAGCAGTTTGAAGGCTGGTTAGCTATGCTTCGTGAAAAGGAGGGTTAAGTGGTTTACAATGGATGCCAATATGTGAATTCTTGTGATATTACACAGTTCATTCCTGGCTAAAACTAAACAAACGTTGCTTGGGTTGCAGTTTTATTGGTGCCGGAGCAGTGACTTTTTCTGACTCTCCAGTAATAGCTCTAGAAGCAACAGCAGTGGCCTAATCATTCACACTTACTCTCACACTCACAAATGTACATGATGCAGTATTTGCTTTCTTCTTATTGATACAGCAGTTTAAGATACGGATGGTGCCTGACACACATTATCTGGGCCATCATCACAGCAAAGCTACAATGCAGCTGCAAAGTGTTATTATTCCAAGCAGAGGTGGTGTTAAGAAGTAACCCACTAGGGTTGGGACCCCAAAACTTTGATTTGAAGCCCCAAATCTCTGGCAGGCCATCTTCCCCACCACCCTGCTGTCCATGGACACTTACTAAAATAAAGGCATATGGATCCAGATGATCTGATACCTCTGAATTTTCTGGAATGTGCTTCACCTCCTACAGTCTCCTTCTGAATATTTTTGTAGACTTGGCCCCCTGAAATGAAATATTCCCCCTCTCCCCTGTCCATAGACCCCTTCTTAAAAATAGAAGTGTTTTTAGGAGGAAGGGCCCTAAGACATACACAGAGATACTTTAGAGCATATGTAAATTAGCATATGCAAATTTGCACTTTGTTTTTCTCTGTGTCTGAGCTTTGGATCTTTTTGGTGCCTAGCAGCACTCCTGATTCTAAGCTGAGACAGAAATAGTCTGTATATTCCTAAATAATGGCTTGGTTGAGGGATAATGCTGAACCAATCTTAGTGTTATGTGCACAAACTTGCTATTCTTCCTTCTCCACACAGGATCAAAGAGATGATCAAAAGCTTCTGCTTCTGTTTTCAGATAACTGCAGTTTGTCATGTTGCCCAAACTGGAAACCTTATTTTAAGTATGGTTTATCAGAACAAGCTAAGTTTTTAAGTTGGCTTTTTCAGCCAAGCAATAGTTAAAACTACCCATGTTTTGTCCTGGTTCAGACATAATGACAAATTGCTGTTTCTTACAGCCATGCCTAAAGAAGAGGAAGAAGACTGGGGAATGCACAGATTTCAGTCTTGCTCATGTAGCACAAACTTCAGTTTGGTGTTATGCTGTAATTCAGCTATTCAGTTCAGGACAGAAAGGGGAAATGCTTAGTTCACAGTTCAGTGCCTTTGCTGTTAAGCTTGTCCATCTCTCACATTCTTAGAAAACAACAGTGCAGCATTGTAAATGTCTACTCAGAAGTAAGTTTCACTGTGTTCAACAGACTGATTCCCAGGCAAATGGCTAGAAGATTGCCACCATAGCTGCCCAAGAAACCAAGCCTACATGTCTAGACTGAAAAAAGTCGTACAATCCATAGCCTTCCCCAATCACCAATGATATCCTTAAAAACAGCTTGAAAGCAAATAAGGAGAAATAAAAAATATTGCAAGATGATTAATTTTACACATACCGGTTGAAGAAGCAAGTAACTACTGCTGCAGCTATGGTCATCTGCTGACACGCTACAATGAATTCGCTTGTCCAAATAAGCCCAACTAAGTGGTACCACCACATGTAGCGAATACCAAATCGAGTTTTGTATTCCACTTGACCTCCTGAAATGACTTGGGCACTGCCTGCAAATGGAAGACACCAAATGTATAACAGCTTATCAAACAAAGACGTTTTGGAAAATTGCAATATCCCTCGAATGTATTTCTCTTTAGTTCAGCTTAACTCTATAGATAATCCAATTTCTATAAAATTCAGCTGACAGGTAATCAACTTTTGAGGGAAACTATATACTTGAAACTGACTGTTTGGTGAGATATAGAATTAGTAATATACGCACCCATGACATAGAAAAATGAAGTTCTACACCAAGGCACCCTGAATACTACAAATATCTGAATATGGGCATTTGCATGTATACAATCTGAGTCAAGATGGGATGGAATTTTGACTGAAATAGGATTAGGATTACGCTGACTCGCATTAGCTAAAGAACTCAAATGTGTGATACACAGGGAAGGTATTCCAATTAGGGATATTCCAATTAGTACAAAAATGTGAAAAGATCTGGACTTATTAATCATAATTCATTATGTGAAGTTTATCTAATAGGAAGGTGAACATCCCAAAACAGAATGAGCAAAGCAGTAAATAGAATGGAAGTAACCTTTCCCCCTTCATACGCTTGTCTTCCTCTCGATGGAATTTTTTGCCTGTTTACATCAGCTAGGCACCAGCATGGCTTTGTTTTTGGTTTCTGCTGAAGATATTTATATTTAAACAAGCCTTTCCTGACCTGACTAGCCTGCCATGGTTTTATTAGCATAATTTGCTTTTACAGTGTTTAACTCTGTATTATGATCACCCTTTTTTTCTTGTTTTCCTTTTTATTGTGCACAACTCAGAATTTTTCATAAATGTTCTTGTTGTAAATCCATTGAATCAGACTAAGAAAAGAAAGTCTAATACTAGCAAGAAACTTGTATTCATGCCTGCAGAATGCAAATTTAATTATGTACCGGGGGGAAAAAACAACTCATTGAATGTTAACTCTAGCCTGGACTTCAAAGATTAACATCTGCATTATCAATGGTATGAACTTTTAGCAGCCTCAGATGCTTAGGGGGAAGGAATCGAAGAAGGACATTCTAGGTGGAGGCACATAGACTTGAAATTGTTTTCACTTTCAGAAGCCAAATATGTGACCTTCAGCACAGGGACTCGCCTGCTTACAATGACAAAGATGCTTCCTCCAAGCAGAGGCTGTGGAAGTGTGTGTCCTTGTAGCCGTAGCATAACAGAACTTTAGCTAGGATTAGCTAGGGAAACAAAAGACAGGTCTGACTAGTGACTCTATCATTTGGATGAGTTATGCAGTCACGTCCAAAAACATTTAGCTTATATCCCTGTAGTTACACAAAACCTAACACACAGAGTGTGGTATTCACAGCCATTTATAAATATTTGCTTGTGATTTAGTTTCCAGTACAGAAAAGATAGCGCTGCATTGAATGGCATGTTGCCCATTCTCCAAACTTACCAGGATGCACCCACAAGCCATTCAGGAACCTTGGCTTACAACTCACATTTACTGTGGTTTTTCTGACACATTTACACCGCTCCTTCCCCTTCAGGAACTGGAGGCAGCTTACATGGTCCCCCTCCTCTCATTTATCCGGTGACTGTCCCAAAGTCACCCTGTGAGCAGCATGGGCCAGCTGTGGACTTGGGCCCAGGTCTCCTGCATCGCTGCCCAGCACTCTAACTGCCACACCAAAATCGTTCCCTCCTCCATTAGACTAGCAGCGCTGGAGTCAGGGGTGCTGGATGCCCAGCATCTGACTAGGATCAGGCTGGGGTCAGAGCTGAAACCCATCAGATGGGGGCCTTTTAGCCACGGACCTCTGGGGTCCATGTCCACAGGGGATGCACCCCCCGAGCAACTGGTACTCTCCATTTCTGCGCTCCATGACTATGCAAGCACTGAGCCTAGAGGGGGTTGCAGAAAGAAGGAGTAAAGAAGCCCCTCTAGGTCTTAAGAAAAGGGAGGACCCTGAGCCTGAAAAGATTTTCTGAATCTGGAGGCATAAACTCTTCTATCGAATCCCTAGTATCAGTGCAGCAAGTTACTCTCTTGGAGCTTCCCATTTGGGTATAACTACTAGTCTGTGTTCCATCATTGTGACCACGGGCTTCTGGTCAAGGCCAGGACAAATGCATAGGTTTGGGGCATGAGCAATCAGCTCAGATGCTTTTTCCCCATGGCTCCCTGTGGCATCTAAATTCTTCCAGCCAAAGTGGCAAACCTAAGGACATAGTTCAAAACACCTGGGTATGCAGGCTACCTGCCTCTTGTATGATAGAAACCAGGAAGACAGCTACAGAATTAAGAAAGATTCCTTTTTGGTTCTTCATACACATGCAGGGAAACTAAGTATAATGATTTACTTGCAGAAAAGGCTCCAGTGCATACACAGCTATGGACCAAAATGATGGCTGATCATTACTGGACAGAGTTTCATACTGATAGGTATTTTTTCACGATATAGAAAGTAAGCTCCCATGCTATTTTGACTGATCACCCTAACATAGTCATAATTTTTCTCAGTGCTTAATACAATATATAACCTAAGGCACAATCTTATACAAGGTTAAACAGAAAAAAATGCCTACAACTTTCAGCATGCCCCAACCACCTAGGAGTTATAGGCCTTTCTTCTGTTTAAACATGCACAGGATTGTGTCCCTACTGTATCCTGTTTCATGCCCCTTGCTTTTACAGAAATGTGTATTTGTTATTTAACTTAATAGCCTGCCTTTCTGCACAATGACACTCAAGCCAGCTAACAAAATAAAGTAAAATATAACTCAATATTACACAGTGCAGTAAAACATAGAACTGTGTTTAAAAAGGGGCAAGTATAAGCAACAGATCAATGAAACATCCATTAAAAACACAGCAGCAGAAGATGAAAGAGATCAGCTTACAGGCCAAAGTCCTGTCTAAATACAAAGATATATACCTGTCACCAGTAGATCAGCAGATAGGAGAATAAAAAGAAACTAGAACATCAGGGTGAGGGGGTTTTCTGACCAAAAGCAAGCTGTACTCTGCAGAATCGTGCACTCATTTTGGAATGTGACAGAACTGCAATATGTAACATTATTGAGCAGGAATGTATCAGCAGTCTGGGCCTCCTTCATGCCCATGCAAGCCCTGGAGCTGGGGAGATTTGCTGATTCTGATATGGCAAAACCAGGCCTAATGGGAATAGTTTCCAAGGGAAGTGCAATTCTGTGGCTCCTCTGAAGGGCAGAGCCGTGACCTTGTTCAGGAATGCTTGTCCGTGTGTGCAGTTTCAGTAAGACACAGCATCAATCAAATTAATTTTACGGCATTACTTCAACCTAATGTTTTGTGATGTGACAGCTGGAATTAAATGATAACTGTTGGCTTGCCACTTGGAAGACAACTAAAAATCTCAATAATTTGGCAACCATGTCCACATGCTATGTTGCATCTTGTCTTAAAATCATGCATCTGTGAATAGAGCAAATAACAGACAAATGGAACACCTGGCACTGAAAGATCCAGAGAAAAACATTTTGACAAAAGGAAGGTGAAGGCTGCAGCAGTTTTCTGTTAAATTTCAGATTCCCATTGGCTTGACACACCAATATTTATTTAAAACTTTTGTACGCCATCCACTACCAAATGGTCTCAGGAGGCCGCAGTCCTATCACGATGACCATAAATCCCTAAACTCAGAGGTTACTGGCAGCCAGTAAAGACTGGGAGAAGCAGTAGAAGCCAACTTTGCTTCTGTTCTCCTGCTCTGCATTTTCACTGGAAAGACAGTTCTGCCCATTTAGCTGGAAGGTTGGGGAAAGAGTCAAAGTAGCTTCCAGACACTTCAGTCTCCTCCCCTCCCCTCCCTGCCCTGCCCTGCCCTGCCCTCAGAAACACCCTTTTCACTGCCTCTCTGAAGTTGTTTTCCTGACCTCAGTGTGTTCTTTTCGCAAGGGAAAGAAAAAGCAAGGTTGCAGCTCCAATTCTCGGCTCTGAAGTCAGAGCATTGCCTTCAATTTTGGATCTGGGAATCTGAAAAATCCTATCACCCTCAAATACTGTTTAGCCACTATAGGGTAGCTCCCATAATTTTCACCACTTCCTTACATGTCATCTGCACCCTTTTGACTCTTTCCCTTTTTTCTACAGCAGAAGTAAAACATTTCCTTAACAGGTGCATTAAATCAAAACCTTGCATTTATTATGCTCAGTTATTGTTACAACAGCTCTGCTTCTGAAAAAGAATGGATTCCTCATCTTCCTAATTTAAGATCACAACCACCCAAACCTCCTTAAATGGAGCTGAGAGGAAATCAGGACTGTTTTGCTAAGAAATACTCTGTTTTATCTGGAGCCAAGTGCAACAAAGGAGAAAGTAAAATAAAATCACATGGCCTGGAACATGCCCTCAAAAAGGCTGGGCAAATCCTAGCTGCTGGTCCACAAAGCAGGCACAGTGTCCATTGGCGACACCTTTGTGGTGACCGTAGCCAATGCACATAGGCCAGGAAAAAGAACTGCACCCACATGGCATGTTAATCAGGAGACACGGTATTTCAGATAACAACAATTCAACGTTTGTTGTTGTAGTTGTTGCTAGTCACAATGTTGTGTCTGACCCTTCGCAACCCCATGGACAACATTCCTCCAGGCCTTCCTGTCCTCCACCATCCCCGGGAGTCCACTCAGGCTCACACCGGCTGCTTCAGTGACTCCATCTAGCCACCTCATTCTCTGCTGAGCCCCTTCTTCTTTTGCCATCCATTGTTCCCAGCATTAGGCTCTTCTCCAGGGAGTCCTTCCTTCTCATTAGGTGGCCAAAGTATTTGAGTTTCATCTTCAGTGTCTGGCCTTCTAAAGAGCAGTCAGGGTTGATCTCCTCTAGAACTGACTGGTTTGATCACCTAGCAGTCCAAGGGACTCGCAGGAGTCTTCAATTCAACATAGGCAAGAACTATTTGTAGAGTCTAACTTAAACGGATGTTACGTGCATGTTCCACTGCTCAACCCTTGCACACAGCAGGAGCAACAATTGCAATTCAGACAACTGGGATAATATTCAGACAACTTCCATATATTGACTGAAGGAAAAGAAGAGGTAGAAAATAGGACTACTGACCTGCAGTTCCTAAACTCAGCAGCACAGCCACCCAGTACACCCAGAACAAAATAAGTATTATAAAGGTCCAAAGGGGCTGAAAGAACAGAGCAGGGATGTTGCCCATCATTTTATTGGCAGCTTGAAGGAGCTGTATACTCAGATGAATCCTCTTCCTTGATGCCAATATCAGGAATATTAGGATAGCCTGTGAGGAAGAATTATACATTAACATTCCTATTAATCGATCAGCAAAAACAGAGTCAGGGAATACATTAAGAATTCAAGGCCATTCTCAGTCATAACATTTTTACAACATTGCTCTGCACAAGCAAATAAGTTTCCCAGTGAAGACAACCCTCAGTAAACTACTACATTATTAACTGGGGCAATTTCTCTGGTTTTGTTTTGGATCTTAATAAGAACATTTACTAACTACTGCAGAAAGAAGAACTAAGACAAAATCAAATCAAAGACATCTCTTATGTCGATGGGTGAAGGAAAGATTCTGGAACAAGAAGGAACTTTGCCCTGCACGAGTTATTTCTTATGCAGTAAAAACTTTCTGTGATTCATCTTAAACAATACACTACAAAAATATTGTGCAAAGGCATCCACTTAGGCAAGGCTACTAAAACAACTGCCATCTTCTGGCTGATTGCTCCCCCTTGTGTCAGCAACCAAGGAAGCCAGCCCATGTTATCTTGTCCCTTACTTGAGTTCTACCGCTTCTCAGATCCACTAAATCCACTCTCATCCACCCAAAAGGTAGAATACCGTATCTGCTACACAGTGCGACACCTATTACACACAACAGTGCTATACTCTGCCTGCCACATAACATGGATTCAGATATAACACATGGTCATCTCGTATAACACAGGTGACCTCTGCTGTAATGATTTCAACAATAAATAGCTACCCCCAGCTCAGGTGCAACCTAAGAATAATGAATTAGAACCATCTGTGCATTTGGAAGCGTGCAGTGCCTATAACCCACCAAGCGCAGTGGATAATGGGCATTCTATATGCAGGAGCAGTGCAGGGAAAGGTCTGCATTCTGCTTGCTCTTCTTATTTTGTCTGCCTAAGTGCAGCACTTTGGAGTGAAGCAGAAGGAGGGTGAGATGCCATCAGGGAACCTTGTAACTTGGTGATGCTGGTGTCCCCCGCTCCCTGCCCCTAGGACACTGCCAAAAGCCCTTTTCTGAGGTTGTGCTTGTGACTTCAGGGAAACAGCCCTCACTTTCCATACTGGTTGAAATGGAGAAGAGGGATTCCAGATGGATTCCCAGCTCCAAGGACAGAGCAGTTTTCCAGTCAGTCTGGTAGATAGGAATCTGATATCTAGTGGCTATAGGATTGCTTTCTAAACCACCTGGTGAGTACATTCTATCGAGCAGTACATAAGTATTGGTATCTTTCAGATTGTGAGAGAACGTCAGATACATCATGAGATACACCAGCTACTTGAAACAGCAAGGGTTTTCATGGCAGGTGTGGTTAAGAGTGCCAGACTGGAACTCAGGCGGCCATCGTGAGCTCACTGGGTGACCTTGGACCAGTCACAGATTCTCAGTCCAACCTGCCTCAAGGGGTGGTGGGTTGCAAGTCTAAGGTTGAGAGGAGCAAGAGCCACCTTGCATTCCTCGAAAGGAACACCGAAGTATTTGCGGTCTTTGGCAGCAGGTATAATAGATGGAGTCACCCCTCGCTTTCCCAAACTGCACTGTGAAGTAGCAGCAGAAATAAAGGAGCCTAGCGCTGTCTGTTCAGGTAAAGACAGTTCACTTGATGCAATGCCTGGGGTGCTGTACTGGCCTCGAGGCCTAGCAACCTCTGTGTCGATCATGCCTGGCAGAAGCCTGAAATGCAATGGTGTGGTTAGAGACATGAGCTGCTGCAAACAAATACAGAAACTAGCTTATTGTATCTTTATGAGAGTTTATCCTATATCCCTGAGAAATAAATTGCCCAGATAATGCTAGTGTCTATATGATAAAGTGCCTTACCGTAATAACTGTAGATACAATAGAAAATCCCAATAATAATTTCATGTTTTCCTTTTCAATTTCTAATTCTATGCTGGGTTCATTGGTGTAATTGTAATACAGCCACCACATAACTCCCAAAACAACTAGAACAAATACAGAAATGCATGCAATTTTACTTCATTTGAAAGAGACATGGTACCATGGCGTATTTGCCTTAGGAGTGAATAGCTACTTAATATGACTGCCTTTCATCTGAAATTCCAAAGAACCTGAAAATTAGGCTGAGATGAAAGGGTAGACTCAAAAGTATGGGACTTCATGCAGTATGCAGTCTTGAGAGAAAGTAATGTTGATATGCATAGCCTTCTTCCATTCCAAATACCTCTGATTAAAAGTTTTCAAAGTTTCATAAAAGTTTTTTAAAACTTTAAAACTTTAAACAGTTACCTATTGGGCCCCCTGTAATTAGTAATATGTAGAAACTTCTGAAATTTAATATTCAGCATGAATATTATTGAGATACAATCCATAAACATAAAGCTAAATTAGGGTTTGGATACCTTTCAAGTCAAAATGTGCATTACATTATAGAGTGTGCATTATATACACGAAAAGAGCCATCGAACAGAATAAAAGAAATTGGAAAAACAAGACATCTACAAGCAGGTATAATGCAAAACAAGTACATCAAATGACCGCTAGAACCATCTGCAGAAGGGATGCAGGGCTTCCTTCAACCCCAGTGCTGCATTCCATTTCCAGGAAATTCACAGGAGCCATATTTCAGGGGTGGGCAGGGCCAAAGGCAAAAGCGGTAGGACCAAAACCCCCAAATCCTCTATTAGTATTTGTTAGCTCAACTCTCGTAATGCCAGTAACCAGGAGAAAGCAACTCAGCCTTTTAGGATGGGGTGGAGGGGGAAACCGCACCTACGAATGATGGGCATTGTGGGGGAGAGAATGGCTTTCTGAGGACTCCCAGAAAAAAGCCTGCCTCTCTGCTGTATGGCCATTTTCAGGCACCAATTTAGGTCAAGACTATAGCTTTAACCAGTGAATAAGATGTTCTGTATAAAAAATTAATTTGATCTGGTAGCAAATGTTTACACAATCTAAGTTCTGAGATCATGAGCCCAAGAACATATTGTGGAATCTCATTGTTGGGTTATATGGGCATTATAATTAATGATGTATATGGTGTTCTACCTAGCTCTGACTACATAAACAAATGCCCTATATTAGGGTTAGGGGTGTGCACCAGGGTGGGGTTGGGGTTAGAAAAATGAGGTGTCCTGGCAGGGATTTGATCGTTGGAATGTGTTTAGAATGGGCAGAAATGATGAGCTGTGCAGGAAAAGCTACTCAAGGAAGGCCTTTTCAAAATCGCTTTATATTCAATGGGACTTTAGCCCTAAATTAGAGTTAGGGGTGTGCATCAGGGTAGTGTTGGGTTTACAAAAATGAGGTGTCCTGGCATGGTTTTGATGGTTGGAATATGGTTAGAACACGCAGAAATGATGAGCTGTGCAGAAAAAGCTACTGAAGGAAGGCCTTTTCAAAATCACCCAATTTTCAATGGGACATTAGCCCTATATTAGGGTTAAGGGAGTGCACCAGGGTAGGGTTAGGGTTACAAAAATGAGGTGTTCTGGTATGATTTTAATGGTTGGAATCTGTTTAAAACGGACAGAAATGTTGAGCTGTGTAGAAAAAGCTACTCAAGAAAGGCTTTTTCAAATTGCTTTATATTCAATGGGACTTTAGCCCTAACTTAGAGTTAGGGGTGTGCACCAGGGTAGGGGTAGGGTTAATAAAATGAGGTTTCCTGGCATGGTTTTGATGGTTGGAATGTGTTTAGAATGGGCAGAAATGATGAGCTGTGCAGAAAAAGCTACTCAAGGAAGGCCTTTTCAAAATTGCCCTATTTTCAATGGAACTTTGGTCCATGTAGAGAAAGCCTTGCTGACAGGAATGTTGTCTAGAAGCTAATTTCAGTTACAAGGGTTTTATGCTATAAGGGATTCAATTTGGGAAGGTAGGACAGGTGACACCCCAAAAGCTATCAATGAGAATATTTTCAGCTGCAGATAACAGGGACTAAATTAGGAACCTTCGACACGCGCAGCATGGGCTGTGTCATGAAGCTGTGCATCCTTCCCAGGATTTTGTTGGCAGACACCAAAGACTGTTTAAAAGAGTTTTCAGGCTGGCATAAAGGACAATTCCTTGTATACATAAGATGCTGCTGCATGAACAGGGGACATGCTTTTTCTGCTAAGAAGCCCACATGTGCTAAACCTCCATTGTGCTAAATGCACATGAAAAGCATAATTACTTACATAATAATCCAAAGAAAAGCAGTGTGAGAACAATTCGAACCACAAGCAAGTTGAAGAACCTGAAGGCTAACATCATAATTATAGAGAAGGCTGCAATTGAACAGAAAAAATAATAACTGAATTATTCATCAGTCTGACCAAATGGTTTACATGGCATTTTAGTTATCCCTAGAGCAGCATTCTGACAGCATTCTAGTTTAACTACCAAAATAGCAGTGAACTCAAAGGGATGTAAGCAACCTTACTGTATATATGATCAATGCACTGTCTTTTAATAATGTCGACACACGATATAGTCCAGTTTTGTATGTGTTTGCTCATTCACCACTGATATGGCCTTCTGACTGGTTCAGTACCCCCTCCCCCGCCCCCCTCCCCACAAATCACTGCCATATTCTATGTGTTTTCTCCTACATTAATTCTTGATTGATGATATATTACTGGCAGTAGGCAGCAATAAATTGACCTAACTCTTAATGAAAGTCAAAGAAGATGGTGCAAAAGCAGGACAACACCTGAATATTAAGAAAGCAAAAATAATTACTACAGAAGGAGTGCTGAATTTTGACAACAGTGAAGAAATTGAAATTGTGAAAGATTCTGCCTAAATTGGCTCCGTCATCAGTTCAAATAGAGACCACAGCCAAGCAATTAGAGGACTGAGACTTGGAAGGGCAGCAGTGAAGGAACCAGAGGAGGCCAAAGCCCAAATCATACGTACATGTTACTGTATTCTCAACCACTGACTATGAGTATGAAAGCTGGATAGTGAAGAAAGCTGACAGGATGAAAACTGATGCCTTCCGAACACAGTGTGAAATGAGAGCTTTGCAAGCACCCTAGACCAATAGAAAGATAAACAAGTGAGTCTTAGATCAGATCAAGCCAGAAATTATTCTGGAAGCAACGATGATGAAACTGAAACTGTCATACATCATGAACAGACAAGACTCACTGGAGAAGAAAATAATGCTAGGAAAAGTTGAAGGCAGAAAAGAAAGGGAGGTGAATTGATTCCATATGGAAGCTACAGCTTTGACTTTCACAGATGCTGAGTGGGCTGTCAAGGACAGGGCATTTTGGACAGCATTCACAGGGTCCCTTTAAGTCAGAAGTGACTGTTCAGCATATAACAACAAATGATATGATTTTTTTAGAATAGCTATTCTGCAGCATTTGTATCTTTTTAAATAAAAATCTATTAGTCTCCTGCTGCCTGCTGATCTACATTAGTTCCATGTAGAAAAGAAGTCTTAAATTAAATTCTTTATTAGTAGTATTCTTCTGAGAATAGTTCTAATTAGAGGTATTAGAGGTCCTTTGGGAATTTCTTCTTTCTCTAACTGGAAGGAATTCTTATCTTAGCAACAATTAAATGGAACATCTTTTGATTTACCAAACAGGAAGATCCAAAACCTTTAAAATCAATATATGGAATTCACTTGTTAAATAAATTCATTCATTTGTTAAATAGGTTTAACCACTGACTTACCCAATGCAAGGACACATAGACCAATGACAGTATCCCTTCTCGCCATCAGCCCACCCAGAATACGATGAAAAATATCCACTTCGTTAACAACATCTAACAACACGGGTGCAAACTGGGAATAGCAGTCAGCATTTCGTGGCACACATCGATTAAACAATGGGAATGACACGCTGGAAGAGTAAAAGAGTAAAACATTGGGCATAAGATTTCAATTACATTGCTAAATGCATGGGACAACTGAACGCTCACTGATGCGACTATATAGAAATAATATACCCATTAAGCATTTTCTCCCAACATAATATACGGAGTCCGCCAAAAAAACAAGAGGTGCTCAAAGTGGTGGCCATGAGCCAAAGTGCTCAAAGTGTCCATTGAGATTGCTGCACATGTATACAATTTTTGGCAGACTCTGTAGAAGAATCCATTGAATTCCATGCAAGGGCTTGTTTACGTGGCCCTTGAAACATACATGGAGCCCCTCTTTTGGCCCAAGAGAGTGCCAATGGACGCATATTTGTTACAGTATCAAGCATAATTCGATTACGTATATCTCCACTGAGCGCATGCTTTGGACATTACAGAGGATGGGGAATATCAGGATTTTCTTGGTCTTTGCAAGAGTGTTAGTGCAGGAAGTTAGGACCTGCAGCAAGTTCATATTGATCTCTACAACTGATAAAACAGATATGATTTGCTATACTGACTGGGAGAAGAGGAAAGTTTAGTCAGCCTCAGTATCTTCCTCTTGACTTTCTTCCATGCCTGCTCTGGAGATATCGATACAATGGAGCACCCCACAGTCCTGAATCCCCTCCATCTTGTCATTTATGCATTCTTATGTCTACGTTTTAAAAAGAAACTGTTTGGAAGATATGAAAAACTTTTATTATTTCATTACTATTTTCATTAAAAAGTAGAATACTTTTTAGAATACAGAAAGTAGAATACAGAATACAGAAAAAGAAGAATACAGTAAGTAGAATACAGTAGAATACAGAATACAGAATACAGAAAAGTAGAATACAGAAAAAGAAGAAGATGATGACCAAGGGCTCTTACACAAATATCACATATTATATCGAGATCAAAAAATTCACAAAAAGTCAGTAATTATCTCTTCTACATGCAATTAAATTAATTTGTACTTAATTGAAATGTATAGAGCAAGTATTCTAATTTGTAATTTTTAATGCTGACTTATTTTCCATTCCTTTTAAATTTTAAATAACAATATTAATATGACTCACTAATGATATTTTTACAAGCTCTATTAAGTAGATTGTATATAGTAGACTTTCCATTTATTATTAAATTCTTCGGTCAGTCTTCTGTTTATGTAACTAATTTTGCCATTATTGCATATTCAGCTAGTTTATTTTTCCAGTCTTCTTTAACTGGGTAGTCTTCTGCTTTCCATTTTAACGCTATTATAACTCCAGCTGCTGGTATCATATATTTAAATAACTACCATACTCCCTGGCAGAATTTCTGGTACAATACTCAGTAGCATATTCTTAGCATTCAAAGGAAAGTTAGTTTTCATTTTTTTTCTGTATTTTTATGTGTATTTCTTTCCAGAATTTTTAAAGAAGATATGCAGAACTGATACATTCAAAACATGGTGCTGGAGGACAGCAAATGCCCTTCCCCAACAGAAAGATAAACAAATGGGTTCGAGAGCAAATCAGAGCTTTCCCTGGAAAGAAAAATGATGAAGGTGATGCTGTCATACTTTGGGCAGGACTCACTGGAGAAGACAGTGATGCTGGGAAAAGTCAAAGGCAACAGAAGAAGAGGAAGAACAGATTGTTTTCATAAAGGAAGCCACAACCTTGAATTTATAAGAGCTAAGCGAGGCCGACAAGCACATTCTGGAGTGCACTCATTCACAGGTTTGCCCTAAGACAGAAACAACCTGGCAGCATGTAACATTTCCAGTGGTGAGTTTAGTAATTTTAGACCCTGGATTTGATGGACTCATGGGAAGCCCCTTTAGATAGCTGGGTCCATTACTTCAGGTTGTAAAGAATATAACCAACTTCTCTTTCCCCACAAACACCCTTCCATGCTTGAAAACTGCTTCTATACATCTGTCATGTTAGAACAACAACCGCTGCTGTGTGTGTTGGAGGAAAGGACTGTGGGGCCTGAATGGTGGTCCCATGATCCAGCACCAATGATTAAGAAGTCGCCTCAGAACCCTACCAGAAGCCACCCAGACAAGTTCACACAGCACGACAAGGCACACTGGTGAGGGTGATTATGGCCTGCGCCTGGCACATGCAGGACAGCTAACAAATCACCATGCAAGCCAGATCGCATTCGCTGGATTAGTCTAGGGCTGCTGCATCAGAGACAAAATGCAGCCACAGTGTTCCTGCTCTTTCTGACCTACAAAGAAACACTTTTTAAGTGCGTAAGGATGTACTACACACCCATAGTTAGTGAATAATTCTTTGCAAAGCTACTTTCTGTGAATGTACACCTGCACAACAGTGCTACTGGCTCCTGCTGAAAAAACTCCAGACGCACTCAAAACAAAGAAGTGCGTGAATGCACAGTTCTGTGGTTTATGAGAACACAGTCACAAGGCTGCTCATGAAGCGTGTGCTTGCAGCACAATCCCAAGCTCCTCCTTTCAGTGGGGGAACAACTGTCCGCATCAATGGCCCAAGTCCAGTTATGGAAGGCCAGTACTGCTGCTGGTGTCCACAGCAAGCAGAGCTGATATAAGGTTCCAGACATGACACTTTTTGTCCCCACTGGGGGTAGGTGGTGTTGAGAAATTCTACTCTCCTTACTTCATGGAATGGAAGCTAAACCAAACTAAACTAAACTAAACTAAACTGGACAGTCTGGACCAAATAGTCCCCACCAGCAGCAGCAATCCCCCTTCATGACTTGGGTGAAATTTGGACGTAGTGGAAGATCTGCTGCTTCAAGCCCACTTCCAGTTGCTTTGTAATTAAAAGCAAAGCACCTTCTTGGTGTGGGGAGGGCACATCAAAAAATCCTTGTTGTGTGCAGGTCTGTACTATTTCAGGTAACAGTGCTGCATCACTAATAATCCCAAACTTCTTCTGCATTCTTGGGGCAGGGCTCCATTTTCCAGTGGATACCTAGCCTGATTTTCTGAAAGTGGAGAAATTAATAGGACGAAAACAACCACATTGCATGTTAAAAGTTGCATCAATATCATCCAACTCAAGTATCTATTAAATTCATAAAGTTTTCATAGCACCTGAGCAATCCACTAGGACTTTGGGATTTGACTGAGTAGCAAAGAGTGACAATTAGCTCAGCTAAACATAGTTTATAAAAATGAATGTAGTAAGGGATATTTTACGCATTTCCCTAGCACCATTTGACCAGTGAGAGGGTTCTAGGCGTAAAACATACATACATGTGCCCTGAGAGAAAATGCAAAGCATACCTTGGCTGTTAATAATTTACTGATAAGTCATGGAGTAATTTCCTAATTTTGTTTTAAATGACAAAGAATATTTCAGCCATTTGTTTCATGTATCACCTTCCCCACATCATTAAGCCCAGAATGCTATAATTACTTTGAATGAAAAAATAACATTTTAGGCAAGTAACATAAAACAATGCTCCTTACCTTGCTGGAACTGGTAAGGTAGGACATAGATGATCAGCTCTCTGACTGAGGGCACAGGTGGTAGCATTCAAGTTGTAAACACAAAGGCAAGAACCTACAGAGAACAATCCCCCAAAATACAATATGTTGCTAATTATTAAAATAATATTTTGCATGCTGGCTGGAGGCAAAATGCAGAGAAAATGAAATGCAAGAAGTGTTTTTTTTTTTACCCTGATCCCACACTTTACATTCCACTGCCCCAGCATATGTAGATTAGCCGGCCAATCGGAAGTTAACACTTCATGCAATTAAGAAGTAGACAATGTCCACAAAGACAGCATCAGAATAAATGTGTGGGTCTTTAAGGTACCATAAAACTTTATTTTGCTTTAAAAGAACAGTTTCTCTTTATTTTTAATGCATCTACATCAGGTTTCAGTCCACAGGTTATGCTAACAAAATCCATGCATTTCTAAGGGCTGTTTCCAATATTATTTTTCTTCACACATATCCAGCTAACCAAAAAAGAAAACTCTGTAGGTTGCACATAATCAGATTCATGCAGAAACGCTGAGTAGTACAAAGACTCATTTTTTCCTAAATCTCCTACTTAAGTATTTAAGAGTCATACTGGTGGGTTTGCACATCACAGTAAGCCACCATGAGAAGAGACAACAGTGGGTTGGTTGTTCATGGAGAAACCCATTGCGTGCCTGATCAGGCTTGTCCTTTTCCTTTACCCCTCTACCTAGTATCCCACAGGACTTAAGAGCTAAAGGCACCTTGCTCCTTTTCCCTGCTGAGATTGTGTGCCCTTTTTGATTTATCACAGCTCCCTTCCCCCTTTACCCTCTGAAATTGCTTTGCATGTGATAGCCCTAAAAACTGATAGCCAGTGATAACCCTCCAAACCGCTCAAGCAGTGCCCTCAGAGGTGTCTGCTGTAAAAAGGCATCGACCCAGAGAGACCACAAAACATTTACCTTTTACTTTGCACTCTTGTGATGGCTTTCAAAAGGTGAGCCACAAGAGAAAAGCAAAGATTTTAAGGATCTCCGAAAGCTCTGGCTACAGGCTGGTAGGAAAATTAAATATATAAAAAATAATATAATCTTTGCTTGCAAAAGAAGGTGGCAAGTAGCTTGCCCCCTATGCAGTAAGAACTTTTAGCGTTGTTTTTGTTTGAATTGGATTTGTAGAAATTTAATTTAATTTAATTTTGTTTGAATTGGATTTAATTGAATTGTTCTAGTTGTCTTGGATCTTTTCTACCATTTTCCAAGAATCTAAGTGCTCAGGAAGGTAGCTACAACAACACCAAGATAAACCATGGGTTGTCACAGTAGTTTGTTGCTCAGCTACATGTCACCCTATGGGAAGGATTCCAAATTCATATGACATAGCAAGCTATGATGGGATTGCTATGTCATGTGAACCCATCACTAAGACACTTTGAGAATCATGCTATTAGTAATAATTTTGTATAATTCTTTACTAAGCTTAAAAAATTCTCAAGATACGAAGAGATACAGGCAAATACATAATCAAACTATGGGACATACTCAGCAGCTCAAAACTGTAAACGTGCAAATTTCCCTATATGTTATTGAACCCTTGCTGAACGTTTTGACTCCTGCTATATGTGTACAAGGTATATGAGAACCAGTAGTGAATCTTGTGATTGTCCTGAGTGAAACTATTTTTGCTATTATTTATTTAAGAGAGTTTTAGTCATGTTTGATTTTCTAAAGAACTCTCTAAGCAGTTGACAACAAAAAGGCATTAAAATAAAGATACGTTAAAATAAAACTTCTATAAAAACCAGATACAAGTTTATTATCAAGTTTGTTGATAATTAACAAACTTGATAATTTGATGATATACCAATTTTGTACGTTAAAATGTGTTGGTTTTTTTTAAAAATTTGGAGCTACTGACATTCATCACAAAAGTGGTGTGCGTGTACCCAGGTGTGAACGTGCACATTAGTTAATGAAGCAGTTTTTTCTTCAAGACTTGCAGTTGAGGATCAGTCTAAAATGGGGCAAATGCATTTCGTTTTGTCAAGGAAGTTAAGAAGACAAAGAATTCCAGGGACTTTAGTCCCTCTGCTGGAAAGAACACTACACTGCCACAACCGCCCCCGCTCCTTGGGAAAGAATGCATGCATGGAGGCGATCTCATCAGTCTCTTCAGCAAGATTCCTGATTATTTAAATCAATGTATAAATGTGGAATAACTAGGGGAAAATACGAGAGGAAAAATCCTAAACTGCATTGTGAGGTGTATTTTGAAATAAACATTGTTTTACACCGTCAAGTGTCTCCCAGCCTACTTCGTCATGTACTTCATAGTATTTTAGATATTGTCATTCTGTTTAATATAAATCAGCCTTCCCCAACCTGGTGGCCTTCAGAGACATTTGGACCAAACTCCCAGAATCCCCCTCCAGCAGGACCATGCACTGGGAATTCTGGGTGTTGCTGTCCAGATGTATCTGGAAGACACAAGGTTGGGGAAGGCTGCTAGAAATCAGCCAGGCTTACTGATATCAAGGCTGGCTGATGGTTAGTCCCTGGACTCAGTTCAATGGCCTGTGCTTTGCTTTAAGGACCTGAACACCCAGTGAGCCTGCCAGCTCCAGCCTTATGAACTGCCCAAAGGATACAATTATCTTCTGATAATTCAATAAAGTGATGACTAAGGAGATGACCTATTTCATTGTGAAGGTGAAAGTTATATCAGACCTGGTATCTTTCTGTTATGAGGTAAAGGCCTTTGAACTTGGTTATGTCTCCTGCTGGCTACTTCTCCTGCTGGATTTAATTTTTAGGCAGTATGCTCTTTATTTTCTGTTTCATTATTTATTTTGATAGAAACCTCAGGGTTTTTAAATGGAAAAGTATTACATTGCATGACATGCAAATCATCTAAGAATGAAAGATTACCTCTGCTGCCATTGCAACAATTACTACAACTGTTATGATTCAACAGGTATCCAGGTAAATACTGGGAAAGATAGAAAGTGTCATCCTTTTCCCTGCCAAGATGACTCACTCTTAAATGATGATGATTTAAATGTTTGGGGTCACATGGGGGGGCGGGGGGGATAAAGAAGAATGTAGCAATGAGTAAACAGAAAGGAATTACCACCCTATAAGGAGACTAATGGGTTGGGGTGAAATAGCAAATGAAAGGGTCGCTTGGAGAGGAATGCAGGGAATGTATAAGAAGAAACCATAGTTCAAGAGCAGAGCACTGCTGTAGGCTAAAGTTCCTTGGTTCAATTCCAGGCCTTTCCAGGTACAAGTATCAGTGACCAGCTGATGGGATTCAGCTCTTCCTGTCTGCTAGTTGAAGTAGACCATGGATGGACAGCTTCTGAGAGCCGAGAGTCCACATGACCTCCTCACTGTGGCAGCCCGCCTCTGCCACAATCGCCACTGAATTTGCCACGGTGACTTTGCAAGAAAACAAGAGACACGGGGGATGCTCATTTTGGCTTGCAAGCAGAGAAGGCACCCCCTTGTGAGCCACTACAACAAACCCAGCAGCTGGGATGAGAGCTGAGAGTGGAGACATATGGAGTCCAAGGGCCTATGTTTTGTCCAGCCTAGAGTAAACAGTGCTGGACTACAGGGGGAAATTGTCTGGCCTGGAAGAAGATAGTTTCCGATAGGCTAATACAATATGTGAACGATGAAGCGCTTAGTAAGTGATCTGATAATAGGAAACAAAGATAATCCAACAAACATCCCAGGGTTTTCCACTTCCCATGTCAGGAAACTACTCAGGAACAGAATGTTCCTGCAGTGTTAAACTGAAATGGCAGAATGCTTGCCTGCCCCCAGCACACTCATAAACAACCGTGGTTTGAAATATTATGGGCTGTTTGATTGTGGGATTTGGTCATTGTGAGATTTGGGTAAGTGTAAAGTGACTAACATTGGGACAAAAATCACAACTTCACTGACGTGACCCCTGTTGAAAGTTTCCACTGAGACTGCAGCAGCAATGAAAAAGTAAATGCCACAGCATGGAAGATTAGGAAAAGAATGGAAAATAAAAATAACGGTATTATAATGGTTCAATGGAACTTGCTCACACATAAGTATGCATTGCAGGGATGGCAAAGGCACCCTTCAAACCAAGATGAAACCTCTGGCAAGAACAAACTGTTTCTCTCCTGCTTGCCACCAGACAGTGATGAAAGAGAGACAGGGAGAGAGGGAGTTAAAGGGATACCAGAACAAGGGAAAGGAAAGGAGGTGGCCCATTCATTTGGTGACCGCTGGCTTTGCCCCCACTGTTGGCAGGTATCTCTGGTGAAAGTGTTCCTTAACAGAAAAAAGATTCCAAAGTCCTTATGGAAGCCTTGAAGCACGGGTAAGCAAATGCTCCAACATTTTTAAAAATCAACCATGAATGTATTTAACACTGTCTTTTTCATGCATATGTCAAATCAGGTCACATCAAAGCCAAGATCAAAAAGGAAAAAATAGCTGTAAATAAATGCACACACATACCATTATTCTCTGCAAAAAGCTGAACGTCTTCTATGGAATTAAGCTGTTCTTGTGGACAACTCGACACACACAATGCAGCAGAACTGATTTTAAGATTCTTTATTGCTGAGCCACAAGAATTCAAAAAGAACACAAACCTAGGGGAGAAAGAGATAACTTCAATTTAAGAATCAACTAAATTTTCACTTAGACGATCTAGTTTTCCTATGCAAATCTGAAACATTAGAATTTTAAAGTCTAAAAAAAAAATTAAAGTGATTCTTTCATACATGCCACACTGAATTATAGAATGTTAATTTAATTTTAATTGAACATATAATTAATTAGAATTTTAATAGCATACATAATAGAATCTATTACACAATGCATGCATTTGTAACTAAAATTTGTACATTTTGTAACTAAAATGCATGCAATAGTCTACTAAGGACTCAGCAGAGATTAATCGCTGAGCCTTAGTGCAGTATTCTCCAATGCAGTGCCACACAATGCTCTGAGCTTACAACTCCCGGCTTTCCTAAACTGAAGCTGATTGGAATAAAAGTTCAGAACATCAGGAGGGTTAAGGAAGGTTGCACTGAAATGACAGAAAAGCCAAGATATCATTACCAATATGTTGCTTTAGGCATATTCATGCATTTATCTTTTGACATATGCTTGTTAGGCAAGGTGTTCCAGAGGAATAAAATTCTACTTCCAATATAAGTTGGTCATGCTGAAATTTTTCAAAATACCATCATACTCACTTTTTGTTGCTCATATCCTGTCCTGAAAAAGGTGCACCTGCCACCGGAACATTTTTCCGACCGCATACATTTCCATAGCTGTCATATCCAAATATAAGTCTTTCTGAAGCTCCAGCCATTAAAACATAGCCAGTTACAAACATCTGTGAGAAAATATATACTCATCTTTCTACCACGATTTTACATTGCATCTTTCACATGGTGGGAAGGAACCACTGATGCTGGCTGAAATTATGTTAGCATAAACTAATATTTTCGTGGATCACTGCCTTGCTGTGGCAAAGGGGCTTGCGTAGCTCAATGAAGCTATGAGCTGTGCCGTGCAGGGCCACCCAAGACGGATAGGTCATAGCAAAGAGAGCTCTGACAAAACGTGATCCACTGGAGAAAGAAATGGCAACCCACTCCAGTATCTTTGCCATGAAAACCCCGTGGACAGTACCAAAAGGCAAAAAGGTAAGACACCGGAAGATGAGCCCTTCAGGTCAGAAGGTGTTCAAAATGCTACTGGGAAAGAGCAGAGGGCTAGTACTAGTAGCACCAGAAAGAATGAAGTGACTGGGTCAAAGCCGAAAGGACACTCAGTTGAAGATGTATCTGGTGGTGAAAGGAGAGTTTGATGCTGCAAAGATCTATACTCCATAGGAACCTGGAATGTAAGATCCATGAATCAAGGCAAGCTGGATGTGGTCAAACAAGAGATGACAAGACTGAACATCGACATCTTAGGAATCAGTGAACTAAAATGGACAGGAATGGGTGAATTGAATTCAGATGACCATCAGGTATACTACTGCGGACAAGAGTCCATCAGAAGAAATGGAGTAGCCTTCATAGTCAATAAAAGAGTAGGAAAAGCAGTACTGGGATACAATCTCCAAAATGACAGAATGATCTCAGTTTGAATCCAAGGAAAACCATTCAATATCACAGTAGTCCAAGTCTATGCCCCAACCACTGGTGCTGAAGAGGCTGAAGTTGACTGGTTCTATGAAGGCCTACAACACCTTCTAGAATTAACACCAAAGAATGATGTCCTTATCATCATGGGGGATTGAAATACTAAAGTAGGAAGCCAAAAGATAACTGGAATAACAGGCAGGTTTGGCCTTGGAGTACAAAATGAAGCAGGGCACAGGCTGGTAGAATTTTGTCAGGAGAATATGATGGTCATAGCAAACACTCTTTTCCAACGACCCAAGAGATGGCTCTACACATGGACATCACCAGACAGTCAACACAGAAATCAGATTGACTATGTGCTCTACAGCCAAAGATGGAGAAACTCTATACAGTCAGTAAAAACTAGACCAGGAGCTGACTGTGGCTCAGACCATGAGCTTCTTGTTGCAAAATTTAGGCTTAAATTGAAGAAAGTAGGGAAAAGCACTAGGCCGCTCAGGTATGACCTGATGAATATATAGTAAATCATATCCCTGATGATTATACAGAAGAGGTGACAAATAGATTTAAGGAATTAGATCTGATAGACAGAGTGCCTGAAGAACTATGGACGGAGGTTCACAGCATTGTACAAGAGGTAGCAACTAAAACCATCCCAAAGAAAAAGAAATGCAAGAAAGCAACATGGCTGTCTGAGGAAAGAAGGGAAGCAAAAGGCAAGGGAGAAAAGGAAAGATACACCCAATTGAATGCAGAATTCCAGAGAATATCTAGAAGAGATAAGAATGCCTTCTTAAATGAACAGTGCAAAGAAATAGAAGAAAACAATAGAATAGGGAGGACCAGAGATCTCTTCAAGAAAATTGGAGATATGAAGGGAACGTTTCATGCAAAGATGGGCATGATAAAGGACCAAAATGGCAGGGACCTAACAGAGGCAGAAGAGATTAAGAAGAGGTGGCAAGATTACACAGAGGAACTATACAAAAAAGAGCTTAACGTCCCTGATAACCACGATGGGGTGGTCACTGACCTCGAGCCAGACATCCTGGAATGTGAAGTCAAATGGGCCTTAGGAAATCTGAGCAACAACAAAGCTAGTGGAGGTGACAATATTCCAGCTGAGCTACTCAAAATCTTAAAAGACGATGCAGTGAAAGTGCTACACTCAATATGCCAGCAAATTTGGAAAACTCAACAGTGGCCACAGGATTGGAAAAGGTCAGTTTACATTCTGATCCCAAAGAAGGGCAATGCGAAAGAATGTTCAAACTACCGCACCATTTCACACGCTAGCAAAGTGATGCTCAAAATCCTACAAGCTAGGCTCCAGCAGTATGTGGACCGAGAACTACCAGAAGTACAGGCAGGATTTCGAAGAGGGAGAGGAACTAGAGATCAAATTGCCAACATACTCTGGATCATGGAGAAGGCTAGGGAGTTCCAGAAAAATATCTACTTCTGCTTCGTTGACTATGCTAAAGCCTTTGATTGTGTGGATCACAACAAATTGTGGCAAGTTCTTAAAGAGATGGGAGTACCTGACCATCTTATTTGTCTCTTGAGAAACCTATATGCAGGTCAAGAAGCAACAGTGAGAACTGGACACGGAACCACTGATTGGTTCAAAATTGAGAAAGGAGTTCGGCAAGGCTGTATACTGTCCCCCTGGGTATTTAACTTATATGCAGAGCACATCATGAGAAAGGCAGGGCTGGATGAATCACCAGTTGGAATTAAGTTTGCTGGGAGAAATATCAACAACCTCAGATATGCAGATGATACCACTCTCATGGCAGAAAGTGAAGAGGAACTAAAGAGTCTCTTGATGCGGGTGAAGGAGGAGAGTGCAAAAGTTGGCTTGAAACTCAACATTAAGAAAACTAAGATCATGGCATCCAGTCCTATCATTTCCTGGCAAATAGATGGGGAAGAAATGGAGGTAGTGACAGGTTTTATTTTCCTGGGCTCCAAGATCACCGCAGATGAGAACTGCAGCCAAGGAATTAAAAGACGCTTGCTCCTGGGGAGGAAAGCTATGGCAAATCTAGACAGCATACTAAAAAGCAGACATCACCCTGCCAACAAAAGTGCAAATAGTCAAGGCTATGGTTTTCCCAGTTGCAATGTATGGCTGTGAAGTTGGACCATAAGGAAGGCTGAGCACCAAAGAATTGAGGCCTTTGAATTGTGGTGTTGGAGGAGACTCCTGTGAGTCCCTTGGACAGCAAGGTGATCAAACCAGCCACTCCTAGAGGAGATCAACCCTGACTGCTCTTTAGAAGGCCAGATCCTGAAGATGAAACTCATATACTTTGGCCACCTAATGAGAAGGAAGGACTGCCTGGAGAAGAGTCTAATGCTGGGAACAATAGATTGCAAAAGAAGAAGGGGACGACAGAGAATGAGGCGGCTAGATGGAGTCACTGAAGCAGTTGGTGAGAGTTTGAGTGGACTCCGGGGGATGGTGGACAGGAAGTGGACAAGAAGGCCTGGAGGAATGTTGTCCATGGGGTCATGATGGGTCGGACACTGCTTCGCAACTAACAACAACAAAACTAATAGTTCCATAACATACTTACAGCAATGGAGAGAAGCAGTGATCTATAGCCAAATTTGCAGTAATGCAGAATTCGGCATCAATCACTGCTTTTTCCCACTGTGATGCCTAGGGCAATGTTAAGTGTGCGAGTGGAAGCACACCACTAGGTCCTTCCTATGCCACACCCTCCTTTTTGTTGTTGTTATTTTACATCAAGTTGTCTCTGACTTATGGCAACCCCATGAATGAAATGAAAGCCCTCCAAAATGTTCCATTTTTAATAGCCCCGCTCACATTTAAATTCAAGGCAGTGGCTTCCTTTATGGAGTTACTCCATCTCATTTTTGGTCTTCCTTTTCTTCTTTTGCCTTCAACTTTCCCTAGCATGATGGAGTTTTCCAGTAAGTCACCCTCCTTTTTAGCTACATATATTTTATAAACTACATGCACACTTGCATTTATTAAAAATGTGTACGCAAAATGAAACATCCACAGAAAGCCACTATATACTGTGGCTTTGTACCACTTAGGATTTCTTTTCAATGCTATATAATCAAGCAAGAATCTCCACATCCACATCAGTCTAGTGGAAACGAGACTGAGTTATATGGGACTCAGAAGCCAGCATGAAGGTGGGAATCACTATTGGGAGAATGTGCTCCATGATGTCAAAGGCGCACCCACCCATCCATGTACATAACACAAAGAAAGTGACAAGATACTATTTCCCTTCCCACTACCCAAAAATCTCCACAGTCCGATATATATAGAAGTGCAATATTCAAGTTCAGGGCTACCAGGTATCTGAACAGTTGAACCTTAAGCACTATATATCCCAGAAGGAAAAGGTTTCCTGGGGTTCAGAAAGAAAAAAAATGCTTTTCTTCTTTCTTTCGCCTTCCTGACTTCTTCTTTTCACGTTCCCAGGCTATTGTCCTAGACAGAAATACTTCTGTGAAGAGCTGGGTTGTTCTGGACATTGCAATATTTTGTAGAAGGTGTCCTTGCTCCTTCTAATATCAAATTCAGTGGTTCCAGATTTGGTAAAGATCAAATCTACCTCTCTGCCGGGCAAGGGTAATCATTACATAGGGGCACCCAAACGCAGAAATACAGTTCAGCTGGAACTGGGCATGCTCAGTGGCCTTTAATAACCACGAAATGTTGAGGCAGTCCATTGAAAGTAAAGTGGCAATTGGACTGCTTGAGCCGAAACATCTGTGTTACTATGCATAGCATAGCATAGCAAAGCTCAGCAGGAACATGGCCTGAGAGTATGAGACGGCTGAGGATGGATCTGATCAGTCCTCCAGGAGATCTTAGAAATCCGCACTGGAAGAAAGGTGAGCTCTGGTTGTAATAATAATTAAAAATTAAAGATTAAAAGTCCAGTGTAGAATAAGGTTCCATTGTTTTAGCATACTTGCTGCTACAGTGCAACAGCCACACTAGCATTTTCATGCAGCAAGATTTCTGATCAGCCTACTTGCAATTCCAAGAATTATTTGTTTTTCCTCTTCAGTGAATATGGTTCAATAGGAAAAGCACTTACCAAACCAGTCCAAAAGAAAAAGAATATCATCAACCAAAGCGGGTCTGTGCATTTCCGACAGATCAACGGTCGCCACTTTCTTGGTTCAGGCAACCCCTCTTCAGAAACCTAAAATTTATGGGGAAAAAATAGATCATGAACCACAGATTCGAGGAAATACCATGGTCTGCACTGAGTCTACTCTGTTACCAGCTCCTTTGCGCTGCTGCTTTTTCTCCCACAGTACAGACACAGCCAAAGTAGAAACCTAATTGTATCCATATTGGCACAGGATAGCCAGGCTTTTCTGCAGTTACCAATATTTAACAATGTAACTATTAATCTTGACCTTGCGTGCACAGGCATTGCAAAACCTGATATCACAATGTAACAAAGTCATTATCTTCATTCTAGGCCAGCTCAAATGTTTTTGTGGCTAGACTGCTTAATATCTTCCCCCCTGCTAATCTGAGCTCTTGTTCACACCATACATCAGATCCATTTTAGTGGCACATGAGAGCGTGTGATTGTACCAAATGTGTACTGAGGCTTCCAAAAGGCTTTGGACAGGACTCCTGGGCAAATCTGGCAGCCATGGGAAAAGAGGAGGTGTCCTCCTTTTGCACGGGAACTAGCCAAAGGCCATCAATGGCTACTAGTCACAAGGGCTTTGTGTCACCACCAGTGGCAGAAGACACCTGCCTGCGCACATCATTTGCTGGGAAGTGTGAACAGGATGTTGCCCACAGGAAGCCGGCTGGCCATTGCCTGAACAGCGTACTGGACTAAGGGGCCCGTGATCCGTCCAGCTCTGCTCGTGCTCTTGAGTTCTTAGATGCAGGAGTATTTCTTCTAGGTGCGCCTCTTATGTGTTTTCTTAGCAAGGGGGGGGGGGGACATCGCAGTATAACCCGGAGGTCCCCACGTGACCTGGACACCTGACAGCACAGCTTTGCAGATTGCCGCTTTAGGCGCAAAGGTCTCCAGGAGCTCAGGTGTGCATGACCTGAGCGGGGGTGGAGCGACTCCGCGCCCCCTCCGCGCCCATCCCTCCCGCCTCTCATTTTAAAATATGAACTTTATGGAGGAACTGCGAAGGAAGAGAAGAGCGCGGCGGGCGGCCTCTTGTTTCCACCTCGGGCCGAACAGAAACGCACCTGTCGGCCTACGAAGCGACCGAGCTGGGCGCCTCCCTTTGCGCCGCGGGCGCGTTTGGCACGAACCCGCGTTTCACACGGAGAGGGCGCTGCGGGGCCGCGCGGGGAGGCGTTGCCAGGCAGCTTCTGGCGAGAGGGTCTTCTTCCCTCGGAGGAGGAGAGCGAGGGCCGGACGCCCCCTTCCCCCCGGCCGGCTCCCCACACGCTGCCGGCGGCGCCTGCGCCCCCTCCCCGAGCCAAGCCGCCTTCCCTCGGTCGCTGGCAGCCCGTGCAGGGCGCCCCGCGCGCCGGTCCCTTACCAGGTACTCGCCGCGGTAGCACGCCATGCTGCGCCCTTCCCGCCTCCGCCTTCCCCTCTGGGGCAGCCTGGGCGGCTCCGTCCGCGCTTGCCAGCCCCGCGACGGAGCAGGGAGGGCGCGGACTGCTTGCTTAGAGGGAGGCACCCACCCGCCTCCTTACCTACCGCCGCCCGCCCGCCTCTTGCAGCCCGGCGCCCTGGGGACAACGCGCCGCCCCGCCTCCCCTGTCGCCTTTCGCCCGCGCCCGGGCTGCCCGCAGGCAGCGCTTCGCGGCGCCGCATTTCTCCGAGGGATTCCCTTTCCAGAGCAGAAGGCCTCCCCTGCTGTCAGGAGGAGGGTTGGGGGCCCAACGTGCAGCACGGGCGCGCGTGTGCGCGGCGCCCGGAGAGGCGGGGCGGCCCACGGCGCAAAGAGGCCGCCAAGGCGCGCTGGCTGCGCGCAGGAAGCGCTGGAGCGATCCTAGCCAAGCGGTGAAGTAACTCCACGGGGACGCGTGCCTGGCTGGATGGCTGCGCAGGTGCGTGGCGCACGCCCCTGAGAGAGAGCAGGGACACGACTCCTTCGGAAAGTGACCAACAGCCGTGGCACCTTAAGGCTCGTGGGATGCGCGTTGGTGGACCCAGATCAGGTGTTGTTAGGTGCGTTACCCTCAAACTGGCAGGTTCGGTACGGGGTGCGGACTGCAAACGGTGTTGCTAGAACTGAAATGCCGAAAAGGGTAACAAGACCGATTGCCCTAAGGGTGGCTAGCAACAACACACTGGTAACAAGGCTGGTAACACACATCACTGCAGTTGCGAGCGAGCCGATGGACACATTTTAGAAACAACAGGCTATTCCCGGAATAAATGTGTCAGCCTTTAAAGCACCGCAAGATCTTTGTTGTTTTTGCTGCAGGCCAGCCCAGAAACTTTGTAGAAGCTGCCACCTTGTTGCCTACCAGATATTCTTGATTGCCGCTCTCAGCAATCCTGGCCGTCTGGGGCTGGTGGAACTTCAATTTCAGAACTCCAGAATAGCTGGGAGAGGCTCCACTGAAATGAAGGAAAAGCAGCCCTCGCTCAAATAGGTTTCACAGCTCGCAGGAGTACAGCAAAAACTGCAAATAGGAAAGTTTTGAATCAAAACTTGTTCCCTGAGAAAATGCTCTCTTTCAGGAAAAGTCCCATTTCTCTCCTAAGTGTTTTTTCAAGTATTACAGCCGGGGGGCAAAGACAGCCCCCACACCCACGTTTCCTTTTGTTCACACTCTGCCTTGATTTGGTCAAAAACAGCATCTCTCTCTTTTGCCTTTCCCCATTTCAAAGATTTTTCAAGCAGGACCCCATTGCCATAAAGGCCACTGAACAAGCACATGGAACAGTGTGGCTAACCTTCAATGTGGCCTTTGTGACTGACCAAGTATTTGCCATAATGGGTAGAACTAGCTGGAGCTTAAGGGGTGTGCTGCAGCTCCAGTAATTATTATAATTATTAGGAGCTCAACCTTCTGCATTTTTAGATTGAAACATGCCCCACATCCCTCAGCACAGGATGTGTTATTACAAAGGAAAGACAGAAAGACGGAAAGACAGAAACCTTCATTAGTTGTCACAACTCCTGTTAAAAGCCCCTTCAGGAAGCAGGGCAAGGGTAAGGGGATGAATGCGGAAAATGAATCCAGCCCCTTCTGGCTATAATAGATCCCTCATCTAGAAGCTAAGAAGGCAGAGCAATACAATTTCCTTCTGCTACAGAATAGCAGTCCAATATCACATTCACTTGGATTACAGTACTTTCTTCAGTTTGGCCTGCCTAAACTGCCTTTATCTGCAGACCACCAAATTGCACCTTTACGTTCCCGCCTGCCATTTTGAGCAACAAAATTCTGAAAAGTTAAGATGGCTAGAGCCTCTTTGTACCAATTCCAGATACATGTGTGACTATCTCCAAAAATACATATACAAGTTGGAAATAGCTCTTGTTGTTAGATGAGAATAATTATTTACTTGGATCTATCTCATAGAAATGACTGCATGAGCTAAGATACCTTTTGGCCATTTCTGTCCACATTTGCAGAACTATAGCAAGAAGAGTCAGCATGAATCCAATAGTCATTCATCTGATATTCATAATTTGATTCATCCATCCATTCATAAAGAACATCATCTTAACATGACTCAAACCAATTCTACGGTGTGCAGAACAAAGCTGGGTGGAACAGATCTGGGAATTCCAAACGGTGTTTCAGTTGCAATGGAGCCAATTAGAATGATGGAGTAGCACAGACTTGTACACCTGGTTTATAGCTGTTACTTTCCATACCTGGATTGCAACTGACAAGCAGAATAGCAAAACAGGTTTCCCGCATATCATTTAACATCAAGGTACTGATCTCTTGTGCAACTTGAGAAGAAAATGAAAACTGTAGAAAATTTAAGTTGATGAACTTTGTGAAGACATTTTGGTTGGCATACATAAAAGTTAGTATGAAATTCATGACTCTTATTTCATGATATCTAGTAATGCATATCTTAAAGTGGAAAGCTATGATCCCCAAAAGGTCAATGTATGTTGGTATGATAGCATAAAAATTTAAGCTCCATTTCTTCCCACTTGTTTAGGTTCCAGACAGTTGTAAATTTTGTGTTACTAATATGGCAAGTAAAATAAAGACATAAAGAACACAAAACAAGGATTTTTGAATTGGGGCACACCAGATTTTGATTCAGCTTTTCCAAAACAACAGTTGTGTGATTTTCTATAACTGCAGTTACAAACACATTATCCATGATCATTTTTGCTGATAATAATATTGTATTATGAGCTTTTATTTGTAACTCCCAACTGAGTAGAATATTACCTTTTATTTTAAAAAAGAGATCCTATTTAGTTACTTATTCTTTTGACCACATGGTGGTGCTCTCCTCAGACATTAAAGCTGTAGTTGCTTTATCATATAGGCAAAATAAAGACATGTTCTTTGTTGCACCAGTGTTAAACACCTGGGTTTACACAACAGAACTTCTTTTTTTCTTATGGCAGCCTCTATACCAGCCAGAACGTCTCCAGAGTGACCCCCAATGAATCCAGAGTAGATTTGGGGGCACACAGAGAATAGCAAACACGGACTCTGCTTGCAGTGCCATTTCATTGGCAGATATATTTGTATTGAATATAATCCTCACAATCTGATGCACCTTTTCCTTGAATAGAAATGTCTCTGGTAAGGTTGTTGATCCCAATTCTGTACTCACTTGCAGTATAAGGATTTATATCAAGAACAAACTCTGATTGACCTGAAAGTCTCATCCTGAAGCATTTTGTAACAATACCAAAAACACACACCACAATCTGAAAATGCTAATAGGAACAGGCATACAGTGGAAAGAATGTCACACTGACATCTTTTTTCCTGGGTTGTCTCACACCATTACCTCTTAGGAGAACATCCCTGGATGGTTTGTTAGCATGGCTAGTTTCACATATCACAACAACCCATAATGCAAAAATGCATGGGTTAAATAAACTATGGATCAGTGTTGTCAGGTGCCAGGGCATGGCAGCAAGAGAAAAGACCGAGGGAACGGGACCAGGACAACAGAACCTGAGGCAAGGCAGAGTCCAAAGTTCCATAGCTAGGCTCAGTAGCAAGCCCAACAGCAAAGGCCAGGTCACAGTCATGGTACATGCCAAGGTCAGGAAACAGGAAGGCAAACAGAGGTGCAGGTACCTTGTAGCAGGAGAGCCTGGCACGATACATGTCAAGAGTCAGGCAAGATGCAGGAGCTGAACCACGCCACAGGTAGCAGGAAGACCTGCATTGCCAACATGAGAGGGCAAGCGCAGCGGCAAAGCCTCTGGGACTGAGCCTGTGGATTTTGTGGTGCTCGTTCTGGCTCTGGTCACCAGACACAGCCCTGGAGCAGCTCAGATCCTGACAAGTGTTATGTGCACATCAGTTCAGGACGGCTTTCCTTCTTGTAGAAGCAACTGATTTTTCCTCAGGTCCATTTTGCAAGTGTGTTTTCACACTGAAACAGAGGAACAGTAGATGCTGCCGTGCTGGCCTCCTCCTCTGGTGAGTGACATGCCTCCATGTCTCCCTGGCTGCTCCTCCCGTGGCCTCTCCCTCAACCCTCTGTCCAGAGGGGGGCTGCTCCCGGGGGGCCTGGAGAGCTCTCTCGGCCCTCAGGCACCTGACCTTCTCCTCTAGCAGGACCACCAGCTTACACCGAGGGCAAGTGAAACCCTGCCTCTCCTGGGGGAGAAGGGCAGACATGTCGCAGCTGTCGCAGTGGAGAGCAACACGCGTGAGTCCCGCCAAGGCCATCTCCTGGTCTGCCATTGGGATCCCTTCTGAGACCTTACCTTGGTCCCCTGCCTTGTCTGTCCTGCAGTACCCCTCACTCGCCCAGTTCTGCCAGACAAAAACCACCCCACACATGCAAGGATAAAATAAAATTTAAATTGGAGGAAAAACAAAGAAGAGCAAAGCACAAAACAACACAAAACAAAACAAAAACAAAGAAAAACAAAGCAATTAAAAAACCAAACAAAAAACAAGCAAACAATAAAACAAAACAAAACAAAAACAAAAAAAACCCCCTCAGCCTCCCAAGGAAGGGTGTCCCCAGACAGCCCGGGCCACAGCTAAGGGACACAGACAAGGGACGACGCCAAGAGGCCAGAGCCAAGAGGGCTGGCAGTGGCTGAGCGCGGCCTTATCAGTCCCTCAGGCCAGTGGCAATCCAAACCAATAGACTTATGATCATAAAACACATATGTTAACATCTGTTATCTGCCTGAATGGGGGGGAAACCCAAAGAGTTGTGCTTGCACACTCTTCCCAGAAGGTGCCAGCACAAGGCAACTCTTAGCCTGTGAGTTAATAACTGGGAGGTACAAAGATGAGTTCCGATGTGAAAGTCTCTCTATGTGGTTTCTATGGTCAAAATGCGTAGGTGCTTGAGCAATTTCCCCCATTTCTGGGTGCAGAGCTAAATGCTAAAATCAGCAATTACAGCAGTGTGGGCACACACTCTTGCTCACAGGGACGGGGACGGGACATTTACAGGAAAAGCTGGTGGAAGGGAAGGAGGGGTGCTTGTTGTGCTCCCAGCGGCCCTCACCTCTTTAGTGAAGGCAGCCTATGCAGCCATCTGCAATGTTAAGCGTGTCATGGGCCGCTTTCACCAAGCGGCTGCCATGGGCTTGCTTTCCTTACATGGCTACCAGGGCAGGTATGGCTAGTCACAAAATATTCATTTCACAGAAGACCAAAAAATGCAACCCAAAGAAATTCCCAAGAACTTAACTTCACTCTGCAGAGGCAAGGTTCTGAGCTGCAAAACACAAAGCCATTGTTCCCAAATAGAAATTTGCAGGGCAGCTTCTCAGTTAGAAAAAGTAGTTTTTATAGTACTAAAATAAAAGTTAAAATAAAAGTCTGAAGGGTCAGACAGCTTGATGAAGATGAATAGGGGAGGCTGCAGGCATGCCGAGACCCTAGCTTTGTCCACCCTAATTCCTACCCATTTCCCCGAAAATTTCCCTTTCCAGACAAACGTCCTTTAATATCACAGGCAGACTCATGTCTCATACCAGAGCAAAATGCCTTTGAAACACAGCAAAGAATCTTTGGGTAGGGGAAGGGCTGAGTGCCTGTGACCCCCTGCAAATGTTCCTCTAACTATTGCATTAGGGCAACGCAGGAATGAATTTGAATACATTTCAGTTCTTGGTGCCTGTGATGTGAACAAGACGGATGATGGCCTGTTCTTTGTGGCCTCTGTGCATCGCGCATATGCAGCTGCCTGGAGTTTGCTGTCAGCTTCATCAGACTAATTAATGCTCTCTGGCATCATTCATTTCTTTGAACTTTGGTGGGTTTTGCAAGGGAGTGCTGCTCAGCATCCTCTCCTGATTATATATCTATCCAAGGAACTATGTTTTGTTCTAGATGGGTCAAGTCCAGAGCAGTCACTATTAGATGTGGCTTTACAACAGGATGCCAAAGTTCTGGCACCATTCACCAACGTATGAAAAACTTACCTGGCCTCATTTGTCACTACAAATAGATGTAGCAATTACCTAGAATGAAAGAAATGTCAGCTTGGCCAGAACAGAACAGGAATTGTGCCATCTGGGACAAATTGTTGTTGTTGTTAGTAGCGAAGTCGTGTCCGACCCATTGCAACCCCACGGACAACACTCCTCCAGGCCTTCCTGTCCTCCACCATCTCCCAGAGCCCACCTAAGCTCACACCAACTGCTTCAGTGACTCCATCCAGCCACCTCATCCTCTGCCGTCCCCTTCTTCTTTTGCCATCTATTGCTCCCAGCATTAGGCTCTTCCCCAGGGAGTCCTTCCTTCTCATTAGGTGGCCAAAGTATTTGAGTTTCATCTTCAGGATCTGGCCTTCTAAAGAGCAGTCAGGGTTGATCTCCTCTAGGACTGACCGGTTTGATCACCTTGTGGTCCAAGGGACTCGCAGGAGTCTCCTCCAGCACCACAATTCAAAGGCCTCAATCCTTTGGCGCTCAGCCTTCCTTATGGTCCAACTTTCACAGCCATACAAT